TTATGCTGTGGTTATTTTATATGAAGGTGGTGGTCTATTATATTATGCTGTGCTTATTTTATATGAAGATGGTGCTCTTTTATATTATGCTGTGGTTTTTTTATATTATGCTGTGGTTATTTTATATGAAGATGGTGCTCTTTTATATTATGCTGTGCTTATTTTATATGAAGATGGTGCTCTATTATGCTGTGGTTATTTTATATGAAGATGGTGCTCTTTTATATTATGCTGTGCTTATTTTATATTATGCTGTGGTTATTTTATATGAAGATGGTGCTCTTTTATATTATGCTGTGGTTTTTTAATATGGAGGTGGTGCTCTATTATATTATGCTGTGCTTATTTTATATGAAGATGGTGCTCTATTATGCTGTGGTTATTTTATATTATGCTGTGGTTATTTTATATGAAGATGGTGCTCTTTTATATTATGCTATGCTTATTTTATATGAAGATGGTGCTCTATTATGCTGTGGTTTTTTAATATGGAGGTGGTGCTTTATTATATTGTGCTGTGGTTATTTCATGTAATGGTGTTTTTTTTCAAATACATAGGATTTTTTAAGGATTTTTAAATGTAGAGTTTGCCCTTACTAGGTGCTGGGCTCGGTTCACTCTTGATTTTAATCAATATCTACACTTTTCCTACCAGTTTCGGACATAATTTCGGGTGAAATCTACATTTAATAATCCTTAAATAACGCTCTTCAATCGTCTACCAAATTGAACTTGTCATATAAAATATGCAGTAAACAAAAAATTCTTGACATTTAGCACTGCAAGTGATAGCAATGGAAGTGACGATTTTAAATATGTAGAATGTTGAGGCGTCCCGGAATGAGAGAGACAACAAATCTCTCTAGATTTCCCGAAAATGGTAAATGTCGTACCTATAAACAGTAAAACGACATTTTTGAAACGTGCTAATCTTAGACACATGCACCTACGAAAACATTAATACACAAAATACACCAACCTGAAAACAAGTGCATAACTGATGGAAAAAAGAGGAATTAGCGATAGTCATAGTGTATTTGAATGATTTTAATTACATCAATTACTAGTACATGTACTAGTATTTGTTTTACTTTCAACATTTCGAGATAATAGCTGATAAACTCAGTATTGAATTTAATCTTCAAAAATATGAGGAATATCTTGACATGATATATGTATTTGAAAAAAACCCACCATCACATGAAATGACCACAGCACAATATAATAAAGCACCACCTCCATATTAAAAAAACACAGCACAACATAATAGAGCACCATCTTCGTATAAAATAAGCACAGCATAAAAGAGCACCATCTTCATATAAAATAACCACAGCATAATATAATAGACCACCACCTTCATATAAAATAACCACAGCATAATATAAAAGAGCACCATCTTCATATAAAATAACCACAGCATAATATAAAAGAGCACCATCTTCATATAAAATAACCACAGCATAATATAAAAGAGCACCATCTTCATAAAAATAACCACAGCATAATATAAAATAACCACAGCATAATATAAAAGAGCACCATCTTCATATAAAATAACCAAAACATAATATAAAATAACCACAGCATAATATAAAATAGCCACATAAGGCAGCTATGGCGTTCCATAGATATACCGTACTTCCATATAGAACTTGGATTCCCTATTGTGGTCCCACCCTACCCAGGGGATTATGATTTTTTAAATCTACACTGCCCCAGGATGCTTCCAAACAAGTTTCATCTTTTCTGTACCAGTGGTTCTTGGGGAGATTTTATAATGACCCCAACCTATTTTTGTCTTTTCTTGATTATCTCCCCTTGAAAAGGGTCTTGGCCCTTCATTTTCGCAATTTAAATTCCCCTTTACCCAAGGATGGTTTGTACCATGTTTGATTAAAACTAGTCCAGTAGTTCTTGAGAAGAAGTTGAAAATGTGAAAAGTTGACAGTCGGATGGACTGACAGATGGACAACAGTTGATCAGAAAAGCTCACTTGAATTTTCAGCTCATGCAAGCTAAAAACATAAAAATTTATACATATTTTCTACAACCAAACATTTGAAACAAACTTATGACAAGAGGCCCATGGGCCACATCGCTCACCTGAGCACCAAGGGTAGGACTAGTATAAAATGGCTTTTTATTGTAAAGTTTAAATCCATAAGTAGTCCCATCACCAATCATGGATTTGCTATTTTTTAGAAAATGATTGAGAAGAAGATTTTTAGGCCATAATAAAAATATTCCTAGATTCTCATCCCCGCCCGCCCCGATTTTATACTCCCGCCTCGTTTTTTTTTATTTCTGTTTTTCTTCGTCTTAATTCTGATCGGGATCGGTATTCATCTACCATTCTACTTTCGTTTTAAATCCCGCGAAAGTCGACATGATTTTGACAGCTGAAAAGATGGTAATTGCTGTAATACATGCGTATAAATTTGAAACAAGAGTCATTGGTTGAAAAAGATTGGTGATGATGTGAAGTGAGAGATAATTGAACCTTTACTATGACCTTTATTTGGGTATTGTAGATAAAATTACACCGATTGTCCAGGTCAATAAAATCTGCAAAATTGAAAAAATAAAAAATATAAAATAAAAGCCGCCCGCCCGCCTCGAATTTAAAAAAAATTCGGATGAGAATCTAGCAATTTATTTATTATGGCCTTAAAGAATTTTCCTATATATTTCTATGTAAAACTTTGGTCGGCCATTTTTGCCCCGCCCTACCCCCGGGGGTCATGATTTGAACAAACTTGAATCTACACTACCTGAACATGCTTCCATATAAATATGATGAATTATGGCTTTGTCATTCTTGAGAAGAAGATTTTTAAAGAATTTTCCTATATACCTCTATGTAAAACCTTGGTCGGCCATTTTGGCCCCGCCCTACCCCCGGGGGTCATGATTTGAACAAACTTGAATCTACACTACCTGAGCATGCTTCCATATAAATATGGCTTTGTCATTCTTGAGAAGAAGATTTTTAAAGAATTTTCCTATATATTTCTATGTAAAACATTGGTCGGCCATTTTGGCCCCACCCTACCCCCGGGGGTCATCATTTGAACAAATTTGAATCTACACTACCTGAGCATGCTTCCATATAAATATGATGAATTATGGCTTTGTCATTCTTGAGAAGATTTTTATAAAATTTTCCTATATATTTCTATGTAAAACTTTGGTCGGCCATTTTGGCCCCGCCCTACCCCCAGGGGTCATGATTTGAACAAACTTGAATCTACACTACCTGAGCATGTTTCCATATAAATATGATGAATTATGGCTTCGTCATTCTTGAGAAGAAGATTTTTAAAGAATTTTCCTATATATTTCTATGTAAAACTTTGTGGTCGGCCATTTTGGCCCCGCCCTTACCCAGGGGGTCATGATTTGAACAAACTTGAATCTACACTACCTGAGCATGCTTCCATATAAATATGATCAATTATGGCTTTGTCATTCTTGAGAAGAAGATTTTTAAAGAAATTTCCTATATATTTCTATGTAAAAATTTGGACGGCCATTTTGGCCACGCCCTACCCCCGGGGGTCATGATTTGAACAAACTTGAATCTACACTACCTGAGGATGTTTCCCCATAAATTTCATCTTTCCTGGCACAGTGGTTCTTGAGAAGATTTTTAAAATATACCACTAAATTTTCATTAATTCCCAATTATCTCCCCTTGAATAAGGGCGTGGCCCTTCATTTGAACAAACTTGAATCCCCTTCACCCAAGGATACTTTGTGGCAAGTTTGGATACTTTGTGGCAAGTTTGGTTGAAATTGGCCAAGCGGTTCTTGAGAAGAAGTCGAAAATGTGAAAAGTTTACAGACAGACAGACGGACAGACGGACGACGGACAAATTGTGATCAGAAAAGCTCACTTGAGCCTTCGGCTCAGGTGAGCTAAAAAGCATATTACTACAAGCTTCATTTAACTTATGCTGCACATGCAACACATTAGGACAATTCTCAGGTAAGCATGGACTTTCAGTAAAGCGTGGCATTCTCGACGTTACATATTTATCTGAAATTTACACAGCTTTCATTCACTGTTGAAAGCCAATGAAAGGTACATGGGATAGAAATTTGGGCAAATGTCAGCAAGTGTACTAAATAACCATTCACATTGTCTCAGCCGCAAAGAGGTGGAGCTTAAGTCGTTTCATCGTTGTCGACAACCATTTAAAGTTCCTGATGTTATAAATTTCTTAACAATGAGAATCTACATGTATTTCACAATTTGACAGACGCTAATTACATAGCACCGAGAAATCAGAATGCCATGCCTTACTGATAGTCCAAGCTTAACTGAGAATCATCCTATTAAAGTGTTGTTGGCATCATCAAATTCATCATAAATAAGCCAACTGCAAACTAGTGAAATGGTTGCACTATACAAATGGTTACTTTGTGCATACAAGTATATGATTGTAAAACATGCAAATTATCAATTTCTTAATCTTTACTCAAGTACTAAGTGTTAAAATCCAATCTAGAACTGTGCAGCAATAATCTATCTATATAGTGTTAAAATTCAATCTAGAACTGTGCAGCAATAATCTATCTATATTTTACTTTAAGCCATTCCAAATTAATTTCTTTCTTTAGCGACCACCCCTAATTCAATGACTTGGCTTTCTACTTGGAAACACACAAATCAAAATGGGTAAAACACATTTTAATAACTTTTCTAATTTTTCATCATCATTTGAGACTACATCATTGTAACCAAGTCAAGGCACTGCTATTTATTGAAATTAAAAAAAATTCTTTGTACAGTGTACCCCACTTAAAAAATAAGAGATATGGAAAACCTAAAAGTGAAATGCATTTCAAACTAATTCAAAGATTTGTTAAATTGGTTTTACTTTGATTTTTTTTTTTTAATTTCATACATTCAAAACCAATCCATACACAAATGCTCAACAAAGAAAATACTTGGAATGGCCTTAGCAAGTTTGAATATTTAAAAACAACACAAAGACAGATATATCTTTTATTCTTTGAGATTAACTGGACTTTTCAAACAGTCTGTTGACATGAAAAGCAACAAAAGAACACATAATGCTAACAGCATCCATTTCCCCCTTACTGCATCACATCCATGGGAATGCCAGCGGTCATAAAACACAAAATTTATGTCATAGGGGTCTTTGATTTTCATAATTAAGAATCACTATTTCACTCTCCAACTTTGGTCTTTTTTCCTTGGTAATTTAAAAATGGAAGTCTAAATCATTTTAGGTGTCTATTTTGAGTCTGCACCACAAAAGGGTTTAAAATAATGCATCTTGGAATTCGTCCTATAAAATGTCCATTTTTCGTTAAAATCCAGTGGCCATAAATCCCTGAGCATTTGCATCACTGAACCAGAAAAATTTTGTTTTGCAAACACATACCACAACTTGTTCCACCATGCTGCAGCATGAACCTCATGTAACACATGAAATAAGTTGAGCACCATACTTAAGGAGTCACAAGTAACACAAGTTTAAGTGGTTATCACCATGCGTGTTCCTTTCTTTTTAAGAATAAAAAGCTTTTGTTTGAATTTTCAGTAAATGCTCTCAAAACATCCTGATTCCTAAACAGTACACAACTCGTCTCCCAGAGAAAAGGATACTGTGCCTCAAGTTCCCACCTGATGCTGCTCAACACAAAATCCAGAAAATCTCAAATCCGAATTCCCAGAATCGAAAAAAAAAAAATTCATTCAAAGTGAAAGTGAAATCATCAGAAGAGAATACATCTGTGAATGATTACTATTGGCATGATTAATCAATAAGAACTTTTTTCAGCTAATCTAATTAAATCCAAGAATCTTTGCACTTTTCCTGTTTGGAACAGCAATCATCTGAAAAAAAAAGTGAAAGAAAGAGTTATTAAAAATTTTGATTTAAACAAGAGCCCCACGGGCCTTATAGGTCACCTGAGTATCGTGCAACAACTAATTTGGTTCATGTTTTAAACCAGAGGCCATGAAATTCACAATTCACAATTTTGAAAGAGGCACCATTGCTTATCATAGTTATTAACTTAGCATGCTTACTCTATTTACTTAATACCCAGAGGTAGATCAGAGCAACAAAGAGAAAATGCACTTCCGCTTGCACCCAGTTGTGCACCTCACCCCAAAGAAACCACAAACCCAGGGGCCACATATTTCAGAATTTTGCAAATTTTATCATAAAATGGTTGATTAATATCAAAGAGCTGATTTAAAAGCATTAATTTATTTTCAGACTATGTAACCCTCCCCCCCTCTGACCCAGGGGGGCATAAAAAACCACTTTGCTAGATGCACCTTTCTTCATCATAAATATGTATACTTGGATCATTGGCATAAAACCCAGAAGCAAAGGAAAATATTTCAAAGAATTAATGTATCTTTTACTCTATAATCAATAGAGCCCCGCCTTAACACCAGAACCCCTGACCCTGGGGCCATAAAATTCATAATTTTAGAAGAAGCACTCTTGCTCATCATAATGATGTGCTTAGTTAGTTTATTTAATACCCAGAAGCAGAGAAGAAGATTTTCAAAGAATTAATGCATTTCACTATATGATCAATATAGCCCCGCCCTAACACCAGAACCCCTGACCCTGGGGCCATAAAATTCACAATTTTAGAGGAGGCACTCTTGCTCATCATAACTATGCATTTAGTTAGTTTATTTAATACCCAGAAGCAGAGAAGATTTTCAAAGAATAAGTGCATTTTCACTATATAATCAATATAGCCCCGCCCTAACACCAGAACCCCTGACCCTGGGGCCATAAAATTCACAATTTTAGAAGAAGCACTCTTGCTCATCATAATGATGTGCTTAGTTAGTTTATTTAATACCCAGAAGCAGAGAAGAAGATTTTCAAAGAATTAATGCATTTCACTATATGATCAATATAGCCCCGCCCTAACACCAGAAGGGCCATGAATTTCACAATTTTGGTAGAGGACTCAATGCTCATTACATTCATGCCAACAGTTTGCCTGCTTGATGTCCATAAGTAAAGAAGATTTTTAAAGATGGCATTAATTTTAGTGGTTCTGGCCCAACCCCTCAGGCCCCTCGGGGGGATCATGTATTTCACAATTGTTGTTCCACTTTCCCTGTAGATAATTTTTTCAAGAATTGGTTGAAATTGGTTCAGTGGTTTTAGAGAAGAAGCTGAAAATGTTCAAATGTTAACACACGACACACGACGCACGACGATGGATAGCAATAGGTCACCTGAGTTACTCAGGTGACCTAAAAAAAAAAATCTTGAATCAGATGATCTTTCCTCTTTATGGTAAAATTGCAATTTGATTGATTCATATTATACAGACAGAAACTGTTGGGTCATTCAGAAGTCTGTGTACAAGAGGTAAATGGGCCACAATGCTGTTTGACCTAAGTCAATGACCAACTATTCTTCAGCAGAAATGAATTCCTAAGAAACTCTCCATATATTCCACCCCCATCCAACCCCTCAAGCCCCGGTCAGTGTTTGAACAATTTTGAATCTACAAATAATAGAGTGTCTGATTTAACTTTCTGTGCCTTTGCTGTTCTTGGGAAGATATTTCAAGATTTATTTTTTTATATTATATTCTTCAGTAAAGTTGCCAGCATGGCGCATTGGTTAGAGCCTCTGCTCTAGAGTCACGAAGTAAGGAGTCAATCCTTACAACGTGGGTTTGAATCTCACTGTGGGACATGAATACCGGCCCTTTGGATGAGACCATATAAATCGAAGTCCTGTGTTGCAGTACTGAGTAGGTGCTGGCACAAAAAAGATCCCTTACTGTTTAATGGCCTCGAGTGCCGAGTATACTGTATAGGACAAAATATGTAGCTCTCCATCTGCAAGTGGTGGAGTCTCCATGAGTGAAAAATTCTCTCGAGGGACATTAGACTATAAATAACAATCTTCAATTGCACATTGTGGAACCCTATCCTAGTATCTCACAGCATCAGTTAGAACATACTTGAATCTACACTACCTGGGATTTTCCCCCCTAGTATTCCTTTGTATTACATGTACAATTTACTTGACTACTACAATCACTTACTGTGGCTACATCCTACCTCTAGTCTGGGGTCATGATTTAACCAAAATTGAATCTATACACTGTGTAATGAGGCTTTTGCAGCAGTTTTTTTTTTATCTTTTGGATTGGCATTTCTCAGAATTTTTTTAAATTTTCCATACATAATCTTATGTAAAACTTTGATCACAAACTCCTTCCTTGGGGTCATCATTTGTATTAAATTGATTTTCTCTAGTCTACAGTCTCTTCCTGAAGTTTTATATTTTCTATCTCAGTGGTTCTTGAGAAGTCAAAAAAAATTGTGAAAAGTTCGCTGACAGAGGGACAGAGAAGATTTTCAAGGAAATAAGCATTTTCACTATATAATTTCAGATACTTTTCACAAATCTGGAAGAGGCACTCTTGCTCATCATAACTATGTGTTTAGTTAATTTATTTAATCAGAAGAAGCTCACTTGGCCATAAAATTCACAAATCTGGAAGAGGCACTCTGGGGTAGTTCAAGTGAGCTAAAAAGTGCCAAAGGTATTAATAAATAGAATTATTTGCTGATCAACATGTCAACTGTAGTTAAATATTCATTACTAAAATATTCAGTTTTTGTCAATATATATTTGGTTATAGAAACATTATGGTATTGACATGATTAAACTGAAAAATCTCAATAGGTCACCTGAGTTACTCAGGTGACCTAAAAATATATATGCAAGTAGAAACTTGACTTACAAATCAGAAGTACATTTACATTTCAACAAACACTGCATCAACATTTGGAGAGTTTATACTATGTGACATGTCACAATTGTCAGGAAATACTTTAAACAGAGTGCATACTACATGTATAATATCTTTCTCCTTCCAAAAAACATGCACTTAAAAGAAAGAGCATGTCCTATGGTTTTACAAAACAATGTGTCATTTATCATGTTTATGTTTGTACTGGTTATATTTGTGTAAAAATACAAAGCACTAGATGATGTTTTTTCCTGAATAGTTCAACACTATCAAAGTCTTCAAACACTATAATAATAAATACATTGTAAACAAGAGGTCCTTGACATGGGCTTTGACAGTCACCTGACTATCATGACTTTCTCAGCTATGGCCATTTTCATTAACACCTTGTAGCTCAGGACCCCGAGTCCCACGAGATAAGGCCTAAAAAAAAATGTTTGTTTCCTGTAACTCTCCCCCAAAATCAAGGATCGGTAGGTAGGTGGGTTTTTTTTTTTTTGGCTTTATATGAATATAGGGGCCAAACATACCCAGACTGAATTAACCAGGTGTTATATTCACAGGGACACCCTACATGGCCACCTAGCAGCAAAAAATGAATTCCAAAAAAGTTGTTGGGGATATTGAAATGTTGTTATATATATATTATAATGATTACTCTTTATATTTATCAGATTGAGCCCAAAGACTATTTCTACCTACATAGCTATTAATAGCTACGTAGGTATTTAAACCTATCCAAAGTAGCTATTTTTACCTACTTTCTGCTTTACTTGCATTTTGTGGCCAAATGCAGGAATGCCACAACATGTTGAGCACAAAATTCTTTGATACAGTCACACTGATAATGGATATGACAAAAACGAGGCCAAAAAATGATTACTTTGTATATTATCAAATTCCCATTGAAACTAATGTAAAATTGCTGAAGTAATAATTTTTTGTCCAAAATTCCGTCTTCTTCATGATTAGTTTGACTGTATCAAAAAATATGGTATTCACCATGTTGCGCCGTTTGGTCTTTTGGCCGAAAATTGCAGATAATACAAAAAGTAGGTAAAAATGGCTACTTTCGGTAAGTTTAATACCTATGTATCTATTAATAGAAATAGTCTTTGGACTGGACCTGTTTAAGGTAAATGTTGACTATGTTCAGTAGACTGATATATTTCATGTCTCAAGTTAAGCTACAAATGATATTTTTTTGATAACTAATGGTAGTCCAATCCACACTTTGCATAAGTAGTTTCCCTTTGCGAGGTCAGCCAAAAGGTCAAAAAGGAAAGAAATGACATTTCTCCTTTTCATGCTACCAAACATTTGGGTGTGCTCCAATAAATCCAGTGTTTAAAAACTTTTCTTTTGACATATGGGTAGCCCCAGCTTGGGGCAATCAATATACAAGATGCACAGAATTTTTCCAGCCAGATGACAAAGTTATAAACCAGAAAACTATCAAGACTACCATGAGGATTCTATTGGTTTTCCCCAAAGATGGCGGCCAAGGGACATAACTTTTGAAAAGTGTGGATTTAACTTTGGAATCAGCCGATTGATTCAACACATTTGGCAGAAGAAGAAAAAATCCACCTTGGGGTTATTCAAATGGGTTAGTCTGGTTACAGGAGCAAAAAAAAACTTTTTTAAGGCCTAAAACATTTATGCTTTGTTTAAGACAATATATTCCCACTTTATCTCCTTGATCTTGACATTGACCTTAGGGTTATATTCATGAAACTCCACTTTTCACTCTTCACATACCTTTTCATCAAGAATTAACTACACGTTGAACAGACTAAGGTGTCAGTACCAACATATAGTTTCTTTAGAGGCTGAGCCTAGACTTTATCTTTAAAAATTTATGTATCTATAAAACGGGTTGTCATAAGTTTAATGGCTTTATGACAATGAGGACATGTTCATAAATTTTCTTGGTTCGTTTTTATGTAAGTGCTTAAATTTGCAACAAGTGCAAGTATCCAATGTTTTTTATACCCCCCAGTATTGAAATTGTACATCAATTCATTTCTCTGATGGAAAGGATGCAAAGTCTGGGATAATGTGCAACACAGTCATAGTATGCTATAAAGCAATATCAATTCACAGAAATATTCATCAAATCCATTCACATTAAATTTTATAATTAATGAAATATTAAACATGTGTTCGGCCTTACTTGTGTTGGCAATAACATAATAGATATCTTCATGAACTTAAAATGACATACAACAAAAGTCAACAAATATAAACAATATGGTTTTCTATTGAAACAAAAACAAAAGGTATTTTCCATTTCAGAAATAAAAATTTCTTTTAATATACAATTTTCATTTAATATTTTATACAACTTCTTGATATTTTTTTAAAAGCATCAAGATCTTTCAATGTTGACAAGGATATAATAATCATTGGTACAATGCAATTGTGCCAAACTGAAGAGTCATGTTTTAAAGATAATAAAATTTCCAAGAAGCATACTATTTGAGGCCACTAAAAAAAGACAAACGACCATCGAAACCTACCAGAAGTGATGTGGATTTTACTGTTCTCTGTCTCTCCCTCCAGAAGAGGGTTTAGCAGGTTTCACATCACCACCTTCATCCTCCTGTCTTTTCTCATAGTGTCCAAAGTCATCAAAGATGGATGTGGTGTGGCGGTAGGTATGCAAGATTTTCAGAACTAACTTTCCTTTCTCCGGGGGAACTTCCTGTGTGTCTCTCGAATTGGTCACAGGTTTGTTTTCATTGTTTTCCAAGCGAATGTGTCGCAATTGAGAGTTGGGTACGTCTTTCACATAGATCCATTTCACTTCGAACTGGCCTCTCCATTTGTCCTGAGCCCAGACACCAGCCTGTTTTCCATAGTCCAAACTAGACATCATTTGGGCCATTCCACAGAAATGTCCAGATCCATTCACACTGTAGAACAAGTAAATGGGTCCTTTATTATCGCGTTCCTTAAATGCCTGATCGAGTCTCTTGTTTCCGTGATCCGTGCTACACCAAATGCTGTACTTGATAGAGCGGTGAATGTCATCTTCGGAGTAGCTTTTGATGATGAAAAAACGAGCCCCACGTGGATTTAAGTTAAATTCACGAGGATTGTATTGGTTAGCAGAGCGTAGTTTTTCCAGCACGGGATGGGCCGAGGAAGATGCCGCAGAAGACGTTGCCTGAACTGTTCCCTGTCCACCGCTTCCAGACGAGTTTGATGATTGGTTTGAATTAGAATTTCCAGAATAATTGTTATTCATTGTTCTACTCCTCGGTGCAGACCAAGAACCTCTCTGCTGGTTTCCTCCATTCATACCCTGTTTGTTACTAGGGTTATTTCTCTGATCCCAAGTACCAATGTCCAAATTCTTATTGGGATTCATTGGGGCACGAGGAATTGACCTAGGCTGAAGTTTTGGCTGGGGTCTCGCAGGCTGACTCGCAATTGCAGCCCAAGAAGTTTTCTTTGGTGCTGACGAACTGCCATTGGACTGTACAGAGACAGAACCTCCGTTCTGTTCCAAATGTCCAGAATCATTCACCAAATTAGGGTCTACAGGACCATCCCCAGCAATGTTCATGCCTTTCAATCCTTGTTCAACACTATTCATTCCAGAAGGGTCTCTTCCATCAAATTCACCATTCATGTACGGATCAGAAGGTATCATATTTTCAGGCCGATAATAGTCTTGCTCATAAACTCTAGTGTCCTTTTGACGTCCTTGCGTTGCAGTGTTCCAATAGTCATTGCCACCAGAGTAATCAGGTTGCCATCCAAACTGAGGATATCCAAAGCCTCCAAAAATTCCATTATAGTCATAACCACCAAAGGATAACATAGTAGCAGCATCTGTTCCATTAGACCAGGCACCTCCATCACCTATTCCTTGATTCATGTAAGGGGTAAACGGCATGGCTTGAGTGTAGTAACTTGGCATAAAAGGGTCAGAAACTCCTGGGCTCGACATTGGGGCAGTATTGTATCCTCCCTGAAATATTAATTAAACAGTTGTAAAAACACACACATATAAATTCAAGTTCTAAAAAAATTGTGAAAGCAAGGCCATTTTAAACTTATTTTGAAAAAATTCCATTTGCTCTCTCCTGACTGATTAAAAGTAGCCTGACTCAAAAACTTTTTGAAAAAAATTTCTACAACCTAATTTCAGGGACCAACCTTCACCCAAAATTTAGGGAGACTCAATTCCCCCAGAGAAATTTAGGGAAAAGTTTCGAATTCTAGGGAAAGTTATTGGCGCATGTGGTGCACATTGATCATTATTAAATTTTTAAGAAGAAAAACATTTACGTTTTTATAACTAAAATATATTTCAATAATTTTTTCTGAAATATTTTAACATCCTAGTAAGAATATTTAAAAAGTGAGGAAAAAAAAGATTTTTAAAAAAAATTGATGGTGTTATTTCAATGTTTTTAAGGATATTTTTAAAATGAAAAGTCATTCCATCTATCCTAAAAGTTGGAAAATAATATTATTAAATTATTTTCTTTATTAAAGTGCTTGTTACGTTTTAGATAGTTTTCAACTGGTCTTGATTTAGCAAGTTATTTCCCATTAGTCATCATATTGGAGGTATACAAGCCTGAATTCCTCTATTATTTTAAACATGTCGTACTGGACAACATATTTTTCTTACAATTTATATTTACTGAAGGTTCTTTTAATTTGTAATTTTAGTATCTAAAAGATTTTTGGTCTTATATTTCTGCCATACAAGATTAAAATTGGTTCCTAAAAGAGTAAAATTTGCTACTTGAACCTCCAACACAGTGGCCAATAGGAAATAACTCTTGCTCAACTCAGGCAACTTTCGATTACATAAACATCAAGTACACTTCATGTTTAAAGAATATCACAAGGGTGAATCCACTCAAAGCAAACAGGGAAATAGGGCAAAACCATTCAGTGTGAACTGTGGCCTGTTCAACAGAGCGAGCGCTAAGAACATTTCTATTGGAGGTATAAGGAATTTGGGCGAACACTCGCGAACGTTCGCTTAGTTGAACAGACCTCAGGTGATAGGGTTGAAACCACCTGGATTGGACAATATGTTGTTATACCTGGTGAGGAGCCTGTTGCAGATACGGTTCGAATTCTTCGTCTTTCACGGTTTCTTTAACAGATCCATTTGCCACTAAAAATTGAAGAAAAATAAAGTAAAATCAACAATAATTACCTCGTTAACAGCTAAGAAATTTTCACACCAATTCTCATTTTACTAAAATGAGAATTGGTGCTTACCAGTGCTAAAATTTTTAGCACTGGTAAGCACTTTCAACTCATACCATTTAACAGCGAAAGATTTGTTTCTCACTTTGAACAATGAGGCAAATTTCAAAAACATTGTTTTCAAAAGTTTTAATTGTTTTGATATATTTCCTTGTTTGCGCATCTGAATCGTCAACACAAAATATGCGTTGACCTGTCCTAGGGGACTTCCGGAAACCCACCTTGATTTGGCTGTCCTTTCGTCCTCTGTTGTAATTTCATATGAAAAAGAAAAACCAAAAGACATGTCAATTATTCTAAAAAACCCAGGTTTTAAAAGGTAAAATTAGACTGAAATAGAGGAAACTAAATGACAAAGACATGACGCATGTTGGGTACCTGATCAATGCTTGCAGACATCACACTCAACCTATCAACACACAATTGTCTATAATAAAATAATTGTCTATGAGGTCTTTTGATTGATAAAATTCACAAACGTCACTATCCTTGCTTTGATATTCACAATATCTTCCCGAAAACCTACAACGAAATCGGTCACTACCCCGAGAAAATGGCGGCCAATCTGCACTAGCCTCGTTTTCGTGCTTTCATCCACGTGACATTACTCATTGTACGTCATATTGTTTCCACACTTTGTTACCCCCCCCCCTTCCCCTTCCTTTCTTTCCTTTTCAGTGAATAAAACTTGAAATCAGTATTTATTTCAAAATTTTGTGTCTCTTTTCTCTTCTGAAATTGAAAGTGTTTTATTTGTTTGGGTTTTTGTTTTAAAACTTTTTTATGGATTATGAAAGTAAAGTAAAATAAAATAATAATAAAGTCAATAATGGGATGGAATAATTAAAGTCACAGGCATTTATTTTGGGAGGGGAGAAAATGACATTAACCCATTTCTTTTTGATTTAGCCATTCTAAGACAAATCATTGGGGGGATACATGGAACTGTTTTTCTTTTCCTCACAGGACTACGTAAAATAGTTAAAATAATCTCGTGTATATTTTCATTTTTCATTGAAAATGACAGTTCAAAAAATTTGTGTATTAAATATTATGTCTTGGTGCTCTTTTCCCCAAGCTTTAAATATTATATAAAGTAAATAGGTACCTGAATGTTTTTTGTTGTTTTTTTAATGTGTAGATACATAATAATCCTTTATTTTATATCTAGACAGAACGAGTAATAATATATATAGAAAACATAAAAACCAAGTTCTCATTTTATTTAAACACCTTTCAGTTTGAATTTATATAAAGGCGAAAAGGAAACATTTTACTTTTGTACGAATAAGATTTTCTAGAGGCGGAAAGCCATAATCGAGGAGAAGAGGGGTGGGGTGGGAGTGAAATGATTAATTAAATTGACAATATGCAAACTTTCAGGATCGGACACAATAATCTCAGTAACTGCGCATGCCATGTGCCTAAAATTTTGATTTCAAAAGGCATCATAATGTTTCAAGGATATTTATAATTAGTACGGCACAGGGCATTATTCCATTCCTGAAAGTTAATAATTAAATCGCATATTATATGTATTGTATATGTATTTTGAAAACTTTTAAGGTAGATCGCGGGTTTACTGTTTGCCTGAAAACATAGGCTAAAAATTTGTCAGCTAACTCCTCTCGTTTTGAATTTTTCTTTCTGAAATTTTTTTTAGATTCGTCTGCGTGGTTCGATTGTAATCGTAATTCAAATGCGCTAATGTTGATGAGAACAGATGACGCTTTTTCATTGAAATATATAGTAAAATGTCCCTTTTCTGCCGGTATACGCAATGAAAGATTTTGGTAAAGTGCTTCGAAATTTAAAAATTAAAATCTTTCGATCACATTGCTATTTTGGTGATTATGTATATATATATAGCAAGTTCGTGATCAGTAGTTATATGTATTTGATTCAAGTCACTTAGTGCACCAGTTCCATGTTTTTTAACCCTTTGTTAAATTACTATCATTTAAACATTTCGGGTATGTTGGAAAAAAATCAATATATATTTTTTATACTGTTTATTGGACACGAAGTATCGTTCGTTTCTGGAGAGAGAGAGAGAGATCAGAATTATCTGAAAAACCTTGACGGGAACAGGAAATTGTACAAACTCAAAAACCTATTCTACGTGCGTGTGTGGTGTATGTTAATGTGTGGTCTTATGGGGGTGGGTGGGGGGATGGGGGGTAGGTTTCAACTTTTTTCATGATCAAACTTTATTAATACATAACCACATTAATATCCTGATTTGTCTTTGCTTAACCAAAAGTGGGAGGGGACATTTTGAGTAAGAAAAAGTGGTGCTTGGAAAAAGGGGGACAGACCTCTGGACCCCCTCCCCTTACTACCAACCTGTTCTAACCAGTGCAAATTTTTACATTCCATACGAATAAATTCTGAAACTAAAGGAAAACGATTTTTACATTTTAACAACTTAAACATGACCAGTCCACTTATGCTCCTTCCATTTTTCCATTGTTCTAAAAAGATTTATAATTTATAATTTTTATTGAAAGTGAATGCAAACAAAAGGCGGAATCAAATGCGCTATTCACTTTTACACTGGCGGACTTCGAGGGGGCAGGGGGCACTCCCCCCTTTTTCATGTCCAAATTATATGTCAGATTTGTAAATCAATTTTTGGTGGGGCTGTGTGCCCCTACCAGACCCCAAATTGGTCAAGATTCCTGGATCCTCCACTGTTTTAACAGCAATATTTTTAAATCCCTTCAGCAAGATTAAGACACTGCATGCTTACGGAGTCATTTGTTTCAAAATAAATTTTCAATCAAACAGAAACAATCGAGGAAGATTTCGTCTAACACCAAACACATACACACTCACATCACTGAGTGACGCAGATCAAACAACCTGCTATATTTACATAATTATTCATTTTTGTGTATTTAAGTTAATGCAGTCTATAAAAATTATATGCATGTATTTCCTGATCAAAGCACCTAAAAGAAATTATATTACCTCACGGAGAGACTGTGGTTTTTGCTTTGTAAACAAAATTATTTGCTAACTCTTTCATATTCAATAATATTTGTTATTCTACAAATTCCTTGCATATGACCAAATAATTCTAATAATTTCAGTAATGTCTGTGTTAAAGTGTATTCTCCTTATAGTTCTAGCAAAAAATGGGGGTGTAATCATTTGAGTATAGTTAGGGTGCCAGGTGTGGAAACAATTTATAAATTAAGGCTGGGGATTTGGGGTCCATCCAAAGCTTAGACTGTGAGGTTCCACGTGAAAGAAGGAGACAAAGCTGGGAAGGTGATAAATGAAGCCTTCACTGAGGTTTTTTTCTAATCCAGCAGTTTTTGATGAGATTTTTAATTGACATAACCCAATTTTTACTATTTCTTTTGACTTAATTATCTCCCTTGGAAGAAAATAACACTGTTATCTCCCCTTAAAAAAAGGTGACACTGATCTTATTAGGTCTAGTATTTGAACAAAGCTAACTGCTTCATACCTAAGGATACTCTGTGCAAAGGTTGAAACTTGTCCAATGGTTCTAGAGAAGAATATGAAATTGTTTTCTAAAAAAGTTAACAGCAATGATGACCATACACAATGGACACGGAAAACCCCCCTTGAACTTTAGGTTCAGGTCACTCAGGTGTGCTATCGAATATTTTTTTTTTTTGGGAGGGGGGGGGGCATGAATCAATACTGTAGTATTTCAAATAAAACAATAAGTCCAAAGCACAGAAACTTTACAGTATCAAAATACTTTATTGTTTATAAATAGTCTAAAGCTCAGAAACTTTACAGTATCAAAATACTTTATTTTTCATAAATAGTCCAAAGCTCAGAAACTTTACAGTATCAAAATACTCTATTGTTCATAAATAATAATAGACATTTGATAAAAAAAAAATGAACAAATGACAGAAAAGAAAAAATAATCACATATTATAAACAAGCAAACTCAGAGAATTCCATGTTGTTTCCCACTTTTAGGTCTTACTGACAGAGTTGCAATGATTGATGGCTTATTGTATTATACTTTGCTCTGTCTGTCCTGGTTTTCTGTCCATCATTACATGCAAAAGTTTTGTTTTTGGGAGGAATATGTTTTGGGTGCAAAAAATTTGGAGTTTGTGAATATCTTGTCACAAGTAATGTACATGCAAAAAAATATGAAAGGCCAAGATTAATAAGTAGGTCAATCTCAAGGTTATAAGGTAGGAAAAAATCATCAACCATGAATGTAAGAAATGGTATTTTCACAATAAAATTTTTAAGCAAAAATATAAAAGATCTTTATCTTGAGGAAAAGAAATCTACAGCAGAATTGTATTTGTCTTAAAAAAGGGGGGAAATGTCAAGGCCATGAGGTCAAAAATGATAGATACTTGAAAGATACTGTCATAGGTGATTTGCAAGTGAAATATGAAAACCGTATCTTTCATTGATGAGTTAGATCCAAATATAAAATTTGTAAAAGGTCCAACTGAAGTCAACATCTTGGGGTCAATACAAAAATTGGAAAGACACAGATGATGATTCGTGAAATAATAATGCCATTTCTTCTCTCATTCATTATCAATGTTAAATTTTTGAAAAATGTCAAAATTTACAGTCAAGGATGAAAAATTATACAACATTCAGAAAGGTCTTGCCACAGGTAATCAAATATAAAATCCCTATCTTCTCTCATTCAATACTTATGTCCAAGGTTATTTTTTTGTGACAGACTGACAAATAATATTAAACAGTTCCCATGGTTTTGCAAAAGCATTTGGCAATAAAGCATCACAATTCTGCAAAACAACATACATGTAATGGATTTCACTAGGTAATGTACAAACTGACATATTGAACACAATACATGTATATTTATAATAGCACAATATAGAAATTTTTGTTGCTGCAACAAATCAATACCAAGGTACTACAGTAAGTAATAAATTAACAGTACAAGAGTTGTATAATCATGAATCATGATGAAGCAAATACATATATAGGGCCACACCAATTTAATTTCTTATTCGCCAGACATCTGGTGAAAAAAGTAGGAGCAGGCGAGCGATTTAATTATAAAATTTTATTTTTTTGTAGGCAAAATTTGTAAGCGGATCATGAAAAAAAATGAGCGGACATATAAATTCTACTTTTTTCTGATTTGTAGAGTAAGCAGCTTAAATACGAGAAAAAAGCGGAAACAAAACAGAAATTTGAACAGAGTTTTCAAGGTGTGGGAAATTTAAATTGTAAAGACAAAAGTTTTGTTTACATACGAATGTGCAGGGTTCGACGAACAGAAAATTAAATTGGTGTGGCCTAGGGTATATAATATTCCTTTAATTTCTTTGTCCTACAATGATATGATGACATTGAGACATACAATATGCATACTGATTACTAAATGCGTATGCATGTTGTAACCATGAATTAAAATATCTTGTAAAGGTCATGTTATATATAGAAATTATGAAGTTGATGTTTTACAGTTTATATTTATTACATACATGTACATAGCACAGCATTACATACATATGTTCATAAGATTTGGGTTTGTTTCTATTTCTATTTCAATGCACTTGATCCGTAATTTGAAAATATTCTATAGTATTACATGTATTTGGCTTATCAAAAATTAGTTGAACCCACCAAAAATTGTGTATGAGTGAGTGCTGTTATGGTAAATTTGCATTCAGTAAAAGAAATACCATATTCATAGGTTGCCATATTATGCAAAAAATGTCATTACTAAGTGTGTAATAAATAGAAATTATGAAGTTGATGGCACAGCTTTAATTGGCATCATTAGTTCTTTGAGTATGTAAATTTGCATTCAGTAGGTAAAAGAAATACCAATTCAAGGTTGATTTAATGTCACTGATATAAACTGTTAGGAAAGTTCATAAAAACATCTTTTTTTTTCTAAACTATTAAAAGCAAAAATAACTTCAATTATTTTAAGGCAAACAGTAAATTACAAAGGACTGTAAAAAAAAAACCTGGTAATGTAAATGTAAACCCAAGTAAATAGTCTTCTGGATATACAGCACATAACAAACAATAAAAATTGATATAAAAAAATTAGGATTTCCCATTGAAGTCTCAGTTTTTAGGAATTTCAGTAAAACTATGAAAAAAGATAATTTATGTAGAAATCTTAGCCCCCACACTGATTATTTGTGTCAAGACTAACAAGGCGTCATTGAATACTCACAGTAATACTATTGATTTTAACACACTCAATTTTTAGAAATTTTAATAAAACTATGAGAAAGATAATTTTTGTAGAAATCTTAGCACCCACGACAATTATTGGTGTTAAGATTAACAAGGTGTCACTGAATTCAATACTTCATTATATTTTCTACTGATGTTTTAACACACTGAATTTTTAGGAATTTTTGTAGAACTATGAAAAAAGATTTTTTAGAAATCTTAGCACCCACAACATTTATTGGTGTTATTAAGACTGCCAAGTCGTCACTGAATTTGATACATCATACTTCATTACATTTTCTACAGATGTTTTAACACATACAGATGACATGTCCTTGACCTTTTCTAAAAATTCTAATCAAATCAGCTGGCTCAGAGAATTATGAAATTTACTTAATTCTTTTTAAGACTTCTTAAATTTCAGATAGTTTCATGATCCTAGAGCCTTCTCTATAGCTTGCTCTCTTAAAAAAATGCAGTTATATCCAAGGATCATGACTGTATCATAGCTAAACAGAACACTTACAGGATCTCAATCAAATTGAGAGCATAATAAATCTTATATAGCAGGTACTTCAAATATTGGATTTGGTTTGATATGCTTTTACAATGTTGCTTATAGCAATATAATTTTTCCTTGAACTACAGAAATTTTGTATTGTGGGACTTCCACGTAACTCCATCCCCATCTTGCTTTGTCCAAGGGAAGGGAATTAGGAATTGTATAACCCAGTATGGACCAAACACTGACCGCATCTCATCCAGGAAGTTTGTCTGGTAAATTTTTCGTCCCTTCACACACTCATAACTTGTTTGACCATTTAAGATAAGACTGAACTGCCAAAAAAACATGTACATACAAAATAGCCCAGTGGATAATACAAGATAACACCAAAATATGGTCAAAAATGTATAAAAGGAGGATTTGCCAATGATTGTTATAACAAGTGCATAAGGCAGGAAATATTTGAAAAATTCTGTACCTAAAAAAGAAACATAATGGATGCTTAAATATTGTTCTAAGTAATACAGTGCAACAGTTGTGCCTATTATGCCATAAAATGACCACAAAATAAAGTGTCTTTGATTGTGGAACCCAATGCAACAACCAGTGAAGAAGCAATGGTGGTCTCTCTTCAGAATGCAGCGTTCACAGATGTTGCAATGTCTAGCTCTGGGAGGGACATTTTGGTCACATTTGGTGCATTTTGTCCAGTCCTCATGTGTAGCATCATTAAACAAAGGCAAATCCGAAGCTGTGCTGTAAACAGATTTTAAACTTGTTATGATAGTCAGAATCCACTGTCCTAGTGCATTAATTGTAAGGTACCAGAAAAACAGCCGATGGTAAAACAAGGAGAATTCGGGATCTTGTAGCTCATTGTGGAAAATCCATGGCAGGCACACACTGGAAGCCACCCAGTGCAAAAGAAAGATAAACACCATGACGTAGAGCATTCCCCCATAGTTAATAAGAACCAGGATGTTTTTGGTGAGTAAGGGTCGGTGGCTGGGGGGTCGGTCCTGGTAAGTGTCCATTGTGAGTACCAGACTCTGTGTGAACTCAAAAAACTTCACAAATAAATTCAACATGATGAATAACTTTCTTCACTGTCGTTAAGTGTCTGTAAAGAGAACAAAAACATAAGGCCTACTGCATACTAGATACAAATTTCAAGGATTCATTCAAAAACTTACATGGTGAAAGATGGTTTCTATAACAGAATCAAAACTGCTTTGTGTCACTTTGAAGATGCTCAATTATTTATTTTGGTGAAAAAAATCAATATTTGCCACAAGTTTGTAAGACTTTTTTTTAAAAGCTATTTGTTTAAAAAAAAAAGACATTTTGTGAAAAACTATAGCCTAGCCAGGGACCTATATACTAACAATATAGGAAAATCTTTATCCATGGCTTCCAAAAATTTATATACTTCAGAAAAATAATGATTTCTAATTCAGAATAGCAAATATCAAAATTTTAAATTGGTTGAACAATGAAGGAATATGAACGGGAAGTAACTGTTTTGCTATATACTAACCTTCTGTTTCTGCAGCGTATTTCGAAATTAAAAGCTTTGCCCCAATATCATGTTCATCACGAATGACTAAATGAGTAATGACACTATCCACTACTGCAAGAGGAAACTTTGAAGAGGTATTTCCGAATAGTGAATATTGGGAACCAGCGAAATTTTTGTAAGTAATTTGTACAATAATTTATTCGAGTTCTTTTCATACTTTCTTTCTTTTTTTTTTTAAACATAAGCTTATTAGGAGGATTTTTTTTTTTTAACGTAAGCTTAGCGAATTATCAAAATCGAAATTAATAACCAGGAACTTAAAATTGTTGTTGATAAAGATCCTTATGCCCCACCCTGTGTCGTGAGAGCCAGTTGACTGCATTTTCAAATGTAAAAATAAAAATTTATTTTTATTAGATAAAGTTAAAATGGAATGAATATATTCTGTTTTCTGGAAATGCGTGTGTAAATGTAAACCAGCAGCTGATCAATAACTGGGGAAAATATGCATTGGTGATATTTTAAAATGTTTTATCAGAATTAATATCGACGAATTTACAGTGGAAAGTCCAGACTTTTTTTATATCATTGACAGCTGCTTTTTCAATAAGAATGGAAATCGTATATTTACTTACCTTGTCATTGGTCATTTGCAAAATCATTTTGTTAAAAACATTCTAATTGTGCGCACAAACTTGTACTCTGAAGTTGACATAAAAAGGTGCTTGAGTTTCTGATTGACAATATCTATGTGGTTTTTGGAGACCAGGTTTTCCAAAATTACATGGAATCCCCATGGGTACCAATATTTCGCACCATTATTAGCAGACCTATATTTTTGCATTCATATGAAGCAAAATTTGTCCAGATCTTATACGTGGAAAGAAGAAAACACGGTTCAACTCGACATTAGATATATCGACGACGTATTGTCAATTAACAATGGTTATATTTCCATTCTTATGTTGATATGATATATCCCGGTGAGCTTGAGATAAAAGATACCACAGAGTCTGACAGATTTGTTTCATATTGGGATATTTTACTTGAAGAAGAAGTTGATGGAAATCTAACAACCAAGCCCTATTTATAATCATGATGACTTAATTTAACTTTTCAATCGTAAGTTTCCCTTACTGACATGCAGCACTATACCTTCATCACCTGCAAGAGGGTTTTATATCATTCAGTTGAATCGATACGCAAGAGCATGCCCTAAGTATGTACAATTTCTAAAATGAGATTAATTATTGATAAACAAGTTGACGAAACAAGAATATAGCAGCAGCTAGTCTCATTTGCAGTCATCATTTCGTAAGTTCTATATATAGTCGATACAATGACCTTGTCAGCAAATACAATTTATCATTGAGTCAAATGCTGAATGACGTTTTTCATACTAATTGTTAATCCGTTATATTTACAATCTGAATTGTCTATTTTTCGTTATTTCCTGATCAAGACAAGAAGCACACGGCGGGTGTGACTACGGTCGACAGGGGATGCCCACTCCTCCATGGCACCTAGCTGATCCCACTTTTGATGTTTTGGGGATCCGTGTTTTCTCCAATCCTATTTTGTATTGTTTTATGGAGCTTGAATACTGTTTCGTTATCTCCATAAATTTACATTTCCAATGTCTTTGCCTGATATAAAATTACAAATAGTTAATTCATGTACTTTATTTCTACATAAATGCACCGGTTCATCGATAGGCGCGGTTGAAAAAAGAACTCCGTGCGGGGCGAGACAAATAGAGACAGAAGCAGGGCTTGTAGCATGTGGATTTGCGGAATCAAGAGCATGTAAATATAAGAAATATATATAACTGTCAGATTTTTTGATTTCATTACGATGAGCAATTGATTGGCTTGCATGATAATTGTATGTATAAACGCCAAATTCACAAAAATGAGATGTTTATGCAAATTATTATCGCAAGTTTACGGACTGTAAACTATAGATCACATCTATATCCGTAAAAATCAAAAAAATGTTTCACAACCGTAAACTATACTTAACACCGAACTTTGCGATTGCAAAACCTTAAATCTTTCAGATAAACATGATAAAGAATTATCATTAGCTTTAGATTTTCAGCATCATCATTTTAAGTTTTTATACGTTAAATATAGTTTAAAATCGCTAACTATAGTTTACGGTTTGCAAACTATAGCGATAAACCTAGTTTATCTTGTTCATTTTGGTTCATTCAACGATCTTTTATTATACTCTTAAAGGTGCATAGACACAGGTTTGAAGTTGATGTTTTCTGTATAATATCTCGACTTATGTATTGTAATAGCATTTCACACGAAAATATATGAAAATCTTATTTCATCTAAAAGTTCTTGAAATTTTAATTTTTTGGATGGATTTGATTGACACATCCTTGCACTTTCACAAATTTTCATTTTTTTTCTTAATACTAAGGAAAAGAGGAAAAGTGGCAATCTGGTTGAGTATTAATAAAAAATATTAAAACTTTGATCCAGAAAATAATTATATTCAGAGTAGAAATGTGCTAGAGCAAAACCCCTTCACAAATACCTGAAATATCGTCATTCCGCGCTTAGTGTTGTGTACAGAGTTTCGCAAATTGAACACACCCGTGAAACGTCCACAGTTTTTGTAAACGAGCTCTGTTGATGTGGGTTAAGTTAATGTTTACGATTCCCCGGGTGTGTTCAGTTGTTAATGTCTGCTCACCACAACTGCACGGACTGACAATACTGTGTGTATATATGTTTTGTTTTCGAACATTTCTACTCTGAATTTTCTGGATTGAAGTTTTAATATTTTTCATTAATACCCAAGATTGCCACTTTTCCTAAGTATTAAGAATATTAAAAATTAAGATTTGTGAAAGTGCAAGGATGTGTCAATCAAACCCATCCAAAAATTTAAAAATTTCAAGAACTTTTAGATGAAATAAGATTTTTCACATATTTTCGTGTGAATTGCTATTACAATAATATATAAGTCGTGATATTATACAGAAAATTATAACTTCAAATCTGTGTCTATGCACCATTAACAATGTCAATATAACAGATATTTCTGAACATTGAAATTTAGCACCACAATGGCTGAAGTTCTATCACATTTACTTTATTTAAAGTACATGTAGAAAAAGACATTAAATGCACGAATACTTCTCGATCGACTTGTCTAGTATTTGACTGGTTCTCTGTCCTTTCCTTATGCGGTGAAGGTCATCTTAAAAAAATGAGAAATTTTGAACTTATTAGAGTTTAAAAAAACGAATTAAATAAAGAATTGATAAGAAGATCATGCCGACCTTCCAGGTAACATATATTTATGATTAAAAAGCAGTTTATTTCTTGAAGTCTCATTTACTTAAGAAGTCGCGGAACGTAATCTTTTTTAATTCAGCAGATTCGATCGTTCCGCCATTTTTTGATAAAACTATGTATTTTGTGTTAACCATGTAAACAACAACGCATGGGCTGCTATCTTATCAAAAAGAAACAGAGACATATATAAAAGATTATATGTCTCTGGAAAGAACAGAAAATTGTTTTCAAAAGACTTGTCTAAAGATGTAGATCACTTAAGCCCGGTGGCTTGATAATGTTGCAAGAAATAATTTAACCCTCTTGTGTTATGAGACTTGTTTAGCATGTTTTGGGAAATATGCACATGTACAATACCACAGATCAGACCAGGATGAACCTAGGCCACCTTCAATCACACACTTCCTGTTTCTATAATCATAGTAGTAGTTGTATTTGTTGCTGTCATGTAGATCTATAAAACTATATATAAAACTAGTCTAAATGATAGTGTATTTAGGCATGCCACCAATCTTGCTTAGGACTAGGAGCCTTTACATTCACTAAAAATATGTAATGAGAGTGTCAAAAAATGCAGTGGACCAGACCAGGATTAGAACCTTGGGCCCCAGGCCCCCTGAATTGGTCAGGTGCTTTATCAGCTAAGCTCTCTGGCAATGGGGGATTGAACCTGTCTGACCACATCCTAGCTGCAGCTCTGTAGCTCTCTGCTTTAGAAAATTAAGATAGATAATGCAGAGACCTACAAATCCAAGCATTGTAAAAACCTTTGAATAATGCCACCATTTTTTTGTCGCTCTCTTCGGGTATTATTTCTCGTATTTAATGCTTTCCCCCACTTCAAAAATAGTATCCAATAATTAATCACACATTTTACTCATATTCTTGATATTTATTCCAAAAATAAAAATAAAACACAATGTTCTATTGAGAGGATGATTGTGTGATAACCTGACAATGTTGTTTGAAAGTTAAACTTTACTGCTGGGACTACACTTATCAAGATATCTTAAAATATTATCTTAAATGAAACAATAGACAATTTTTTTTTTCTGTTAATTTTTTGCATGTGATATTGTCCTAATATTTATCTATTTTCTCTTTTTTTAATAGACTAAGTAGGAAGATCAGAAGATACTCAGGAATCATGGAATACAACTGGGAAGGTAAAACACTACATGTACAAAGTAATCAAATTTCACTCTGCTAGAAAGACAAGGATTACCATCTCTTCTTTAAAAATATATATAGAAATTTTCCAGGTCACAAAACTCTCTTTATTACAGATTATAAGTAATGTTTGTTATGAAAGACTGCACATTTGTTATTTACAGGTTGTAATTTAGTTATCCAGGTTCAATCAAGGGTATACAGAAATTTACATCCGGCTTGCTAACCAATATCTTGTGTTACAAGCTGGATAAGACATACTGTGAAATCACTAATTTTCATGAGGGGTTAATTTTCATTGTTTTTCAAGGTATGGAGAGACCGTTGAATCAAATCCTCACAAACTAATATTTCTCAAACCTTGGAAATTTGACTCCACAAGAATGTTGATTTTACAGTAATGTTTGTTACTTACAGGTTGTAATGTTTGTTCTGTTTGTTACTTACAGGTTGTAATGTTTGTTCTGTTTGTTACTTACAGGTTGTAATGTTTGTTACTTTTAGGTTGTAATGTTTGTGGAGAGAACCACACCACAGAGTGCTGTCCAGAGCTCGGACTTCTGCCCTCAGAAATTCAGAATCCAGCTACCACTAAGTAATACATATGCTAAATTGTAAACATTTGTAGAGAAAAAATAATTTTTTTGATTTTCTTTTAAAGTCATTTCATTATAAACGCTGTAATAAAAACCTAACTGATTAAAGTTTGTTAATCTGATTAAAATCTAATCTTTGATTTGCTCCAAAATTCTGAGAGTTACTGTACAAATCTTAGTACAGTGACTTTAGGAATTCAAGGAAATACTAAAGATTTCATTTAAATCAGATTGAAAGTTTGTATTTCCCTTATCCTATTTAAGTCATGTTTATATAAAACTGTATTCATCCTTGTATAAGCTAGTCGCATTCATTTACGTACATTACACAACGATAATGACCCCTTAACATTACCAATAACAGTCCAGTAGTAGGAGACTACATTTTCATATTGCATTGACATTGCAGAGCCAGGTTAACTCTGCCCCACTCCATGTGTGCCGTAGATTTAGCCGGACAGGAAGTAGCAGTGGTTGCCCAGAGTCCGATTAACAGGAAAACCCAGTTCGGCCCGTTTGAAGCCAAAAAGACAACGCATGAATTCAATGATGATTCCTTGTTTCTTCTGAAGGTATGATCACATACATCTGGCATGATAATGAAAGTCTGAACTTTGTTCACTGTAGAAGAAAGAAGTGTCCTTGATTTTATATGAGAAAAATAAATAAGTACCTGCATACTGACATTTTAATTCAGATGTTGGAATGAATATTTAATTGCCTTTGTTGAAAAGATTCTTGTAATAGAGTTAACTTTTACACAATACATTGTAGATTATTTAATGTTTGTGTGATCTGAAGGAAAACATATTTTCCCTACAGTGTTAAGACTATTTTTACAAAAAAAAAAAAAGAAAAAAAAAAGAAAAGAATTATTAATATATATGATGAAAATAAAAATTCTTTTATGTACTCCTGTAGTTTATCGGTATTTTATTATAGGTGATATTTAGAGATTCCATTGTTAGTCTGGATACAACAAATGAAAATGAATGTAACTGGCTGTGTCTGGTGCGAGCTGCAACTGACTCCAGTATGTATAAAATAAATATGGCATTGCTTAATTGCATAAGCCATAACTGATTGTGAAATACAAGTACCAGTAAATTAAATGAATGAAAATAAGCATGCTTTTCAAAATGGAGTAAAACCAGAATTTATTTAATAATACCTAATGTAAATTTTTGCAGGTATTGTTGAATTTTATTGGTATGTTTGTTTTTTTCTTTAAAGAGGTGATATTTGTTATTTATTAGATGAACAGAATATGATAGCTTACCAGATGGGAACCAGCATATACTACAGCACAATCAGGGACATAGTAATGGGGGAGGAACTCAAGGTCTGGTATGCTTCTCCATATGCCAAGAAAATCGGCAAAAGTGTCGTACCTGATGGAGTTAGCAGAGGTAAAAGCACTAACTTAGAAAGCTGAAATAAGTCAATATAGTGACCTAGGAGGAGGAATAATGGGAAGGGTGTCTTGGTTGGGGTTAAAAGGGAGAAGATTATCTTAGTCAGATTGCTATAGATTGGATCTTGTAGATTTGTTGTTCAATTGTCATTGAATGCATACATACAATGTACATGACCAAACTAGGAAAAATGGCAAATAATAAACTGTGGAAGATTGCTTTATCAAATAGTCATATACATTTGAATTTGAATTTTCTCATAACATGCATGTTATTTTGTAGTAATGCTCAATATGGAGGTGATATACCCCTCTATTGATGAAGTTCAGGAGAGTCTACCCCTGGAGGCCCCACAGGAAATTCCAACCCAGGAGGAGACAACTCTGCAGGATAACACTTTAGCCAATGAGAGCAACCTGATTCAATCAGAAGAAGGGGAACAGGAAATGTTACAGATGACAAATCATGTGGAAAAGACAGACAGAGAGCAGCAGACCACGTCCATATTAGAGGTACTTATTATGGTTTTATAATTTTACCCTTGCCTTAACATCAATTTTCAGGTATTTAGTTCAAAGTGCAGTGTTGTCAAATCTCAGACAGAAATACATGTATTCTTTTAAAAGCTCATAAAGAAAGAACAGAAATCTGAAAATGACCACTTTTGGGGGATTGAAGTGCCTTGTAATTAATAACACATTCAGAAATATAAACATAATACGTAATATCGCGACTACCAATAAGTACCTCGCAGTTATCCAACTTACTACCGCTCTTTTGCGGGGGAGTCATGGAAGGTCTAAATTTCTGGGGCACATGACATTGTTTACAGTAGTGACAATCAACTGATTCCAACAATTTAATGCCGAAATCACAATATTTGCCAGATATTGAACTCCAAATAGTAGATTGTCAAATAAGGAAAGTTCAGAATATTTTATATGCTTTAAAATGTGACGATTTTCAATGAAAATTTAACGAGAAGAGTACGCTTACTTAAAAATATCGTTAAAAATGTAACAATTTAGGATTGGCTTCTCTCAAAAATTTATTAGGCTGGTTCAGCGATTGTTTAGCAAGGACAGATAAGTAAAAAATCCACCAAGATTTTTTACTTATCTGTCCTTATGAATGCTACTATGATCGATCTTGCATTGTATTAAATAGCACATTTGCCCCCACCCAACAGACGTTTCCTACCTCCATCGCGAAAGAGTTCCGCTAAGTTAAGTAATCGCGATATCAAGTATTATTTGTACTTCAGCAGGCAGCCTCAGAGAGTGCAGCAGTGACCAAGGAGCCTGAGACTGATGTAGTCACAGAGAGTACAGACCTACCCAAACATGCCTGTCAGCGCTGTGATCAGATTTTCATCTCGGAGAATGATCTGGCTCACCATCTTATTCTGCACATCACTCAAACAGAGGAGTAGGTTCTCATTCATCTCTGGTCAAGTGTTGATGATTTTCAGTGCTATGAAACTAATGGATAAAATATAGAAAAAACAATTTTTAGCTCACCTGAGCCAAAGGCTCAAGTGAGCTTTTCTGATCACAATTTGTCCGTTGTCTGTCGTTGTCGTTGTAGTCGACGTTGTCGTCGTCGTTGTTGTAAACTTTTCACATTTTCATCTTCTTCTCAAGAACCACTGGGCCAATTTCAACCAAACTTGCCATAAAGTATCCTTAGGTGAAGGGGATTCAGGTTTTTCAAATGAAGGGCCACGCCCTTTTCCAAGGGGAGATAATTATGAATTAGAGAAAAATTAATGGCATTTTTAAAAAATCTTCTTCTCAAGAACCACTGGGCCAGGAAAGATGAAACTCATGTGAAATCATCACCAGGTAGTGTAGATTCAAGTTTGTTCAAATCATGACCCCCGGGGGTAGGATGGGGCCAAAATGGCTGATCAAAGTTTTACATAGGAATATATAGGAAAAATCTTTAAAAATCTTCTTTTCAAGAACCACTGGGCCAGGAAAGATGAAACTCATGTGGAATCATCACCAGGTAGTGTAGATTCAAGTTTGTTCAAATCATGACCCCCGGGGATAGGGTGGGGCCAAAATGGCCGATCAAAGTTTTACATTGGAATTTATAGGAAAAATCTTTAAAAATCTTCTTCTCAAGAACCACTGGGCCAGGAAAGATGAAACTCATGTGGAATCATCACCAGGTAGTGTAGATTCAAGTTTGTTCAAATCATGACCCCTGGGGGTAGGGTGGGGCCAAATTGGCCGATCAAAGTTTAACTTAGGAATATTTAGGAAAAATCTTTAAAAATCTTTTTCTCAAGAACCACTGAGCAGAAAAGATGAAACTCATGTGGAATCATAACCAGGTAGTGTAGATTCAAGTTTGCTCAAATCATGACCCCCGGGGGTAGGGTGGGGCCAAAATTGTCGATCAAGTTTTACATTGGAATATATAGGAAAAATCTTTAAAAATCTTCTTCTCAAGAACCACTGGGCCAGGAAAGATGAAACTCATGTGGAATCATCACCAGGTAGTGTAGACTCAAGTTTGTTCAAATCATGACCCCCAGGGATAGGGTGGGTCCAAATTGGCCGATCGAAGTTTTACATAGGAATTTATAGGAAAAATCTCTAAAAATCTTCTTCTCAAGAACCACTGGGCCAGGAAAGATGAAACTCATGTGGAATCATCACTAGGTAGTGTAGATTCAAGTTTGTTCAAATCATGAACCCCGGGGATAGGGTGGGTCCAAATTGGCAGATAAAAATTTTACATAGGAATATATAGGGAAACCTTTCAAAATCCTCTTTTCAAGAACTTCAAATCCATGCTTAGTGATATTTATATGGAATCATCCTCAGGTAGTGTAGATACATGTTTGTTCAAACCATGACCCCCTAGGAGGTTAAAATTCAAGCCCCCCCAAACTCAGTAAACTTTCAGTTCGGATCTGATATGTGCTTTTTCCTAGCAAATTGCTCAGGTGAGCGATGTGGCCCCTGGGCCTCTTGTCTAAAAATATGATGTATTTATTCATCTCAGAGTAAAACCAACTTTCTTTTGCATCTGAAAAGTTTTTGTAAGGACAGCTGGATTCAGAAAAGATTAAAAAGCAATTATAATTTATATATATTCATGTAGAAATAATTGTCATGCTTGTACTGTATTTGATGGATGTAACCTTTCTTTCTTAACCAGAAAGCTTAAGCGAGGAAGAAAGCCAAAAAATCATAATGCAGTGAATGCAGATGGGGAACCAGAAGAAAATCCAGAAGAGGGCAGAGAGCAGCCAGGTGAAGAAGATTGGGAGGAGCTAGAAAGTGATGACCCCCGTGACCCTGACTTCACCGAAGATAAAAACGTGGCCTTCACTGTGTACGAAGTCTCGTATACAGGCCGACCGAGGAGGAGCATGAGGAGCAGAAGTAAAATAGACAAAGACTTCCTGTATCTCTCTAATGTTAAAAAGACAAGAAGAACTTTTGACAAAATGGAATCATCTGGTGAGAATTCTTCAGAAGAGACTCAGGGATCAGAATTGGAGGACGCAATAAAAACTAATGAGGAAAATCAGATAGAAAGAGGCAGTAATAATCAGCAGGGCAAACCAAAGAGGGGGAGGGGTCGACCTAGAAAGTATCCAATCAAAGGGCAAGAGAATGTCGAGAAAGCTCCAAACGCGGAAACCCGTGAACAACCTACTTTAATGGAAGGCGTAAAAACCAAAGAAACTGCTGAAGACAAGGTTTCTGAAATTGCAACTGATAGTCTGAAAAATCTGTCTGAGCCAAAAGATAAACCTGAAAATGAAGTACCCCTGGAGGAGAGAAATGAGAAATATTCAGCTGTAGACCATGTTGATCTTGGAGAATCACAAGAACAGCCTAATGATATTGTGCCCTCAGTTGTGGAAATGGAAACAGAAAATGTCATTAATTCAGAAAGTGCAACAGAAAAAAATAGAGAAATGGACAAAATGGCTGTCTCAGAGGAGATAAATTCTGAAGAGGAAGCAGGCAATGGAAAAGCTGTGTCAAACTGCTCCACATCAGTGACTGAAAATGTTGGTGATGTCATTGAATCAGATGGGAACAGCACCCAACTATCTGACAATCAGCAGAGTAAGGCAGAAGAGAACTTGAATGTGACAAATGAGAATGAGAAAATAGAGATAGAAATGGATGTGGATGAGGTCATGGAACCTCTTCCTAGCCTTGATAATACAACAGTTATGAGTGAAATGAAAAGAATCAAAACTCTGCAGAAACTAAGATCCAAATACAAGCATGTCTGTAAGCACTGTGGGAAACATTTTAAAAGCATACATTATCTCCGATTACACATACCTATGCACACTGGGAAGTTTGCTTGCACGTATTGTGGATTTAACTTTGCCAGAAAGGATAGTATGCTTAAACATGACTGTAAAATGAAGAAAGTCATTAAACCATTGCAAAAAGATGAGAAAGAGATATTTCAGTGTTTGCTGTGTTTGACAGAAATGGAGGACATAAAGGCAGCAAGGGAACATTATTCATCTCATAAGAAGGACATAAGATGTGTTGACTGCAACGAAGTGTTCGGGAAACAACAGTTGCTTAGGGACCACATCTGTCCCAATGCCTCCGAAAAACTCATCAGATGTGACATCTGCAAAAATCCATTTCCTTCCCAGAAATCTTTGATGCGACATCTAGCAAAACACACAGACATCTTTCAATGTCCAAATTGCCTCAAGACGTTTGCTCGAAAAGATTCCCAGTTGAAGCACATTTTGGTGTGTTGTCCAGAAAGAGCTGACGAATACAAGGTTTTTGCCTGTAGCAAGTGTCGGAAAGGGTTTGCCACAAAGCTAGGCCTGGATAACCACGAGGCCCTGTGTCAACAGGAGATCTGTGATAACTGTAACAAAGTGTTTGATTCTGTAGATATGCTGAGGACACACCAAGAGACCTGTAACCAAGTCATTAACTATGTAAAGAAAGATAAAGTTCTTTTTTCCTGTGGCATTTGCAAAAAGTCGTTCAGGAATGCTAACTACCTAAATAAGCACAAGGAGTTGCATACAGATCAGTTTGAGTGTAACATTTGTAAAAAGATATTCAGAGCAACGAGAGATCTAGACGACCATGTGCGATTCTGTGAAGCTAACAGTATTATAGGTGAGAAAGGAAGCGCAGCATGTGAAATCTGTGGGCTCTTGTTTTATTCAACCAAAGCCTACAAAGAACACTATCAAATGCATACCCATCCCTATAGCTGTGACAGGTGTAAGAAAAGGTTTATCAAGATAGGGACTCTTCATACTCACCAGTGTATACAGGATACTTCTGTTGTAGAATGTCACCATTGTCAACAACAGTTTAATGGCCAGACAGCACTGAAAGCTCATATCAAAAAGGAGCACAGGAGGACAATACAGTGTAAACTCTGTCTGAAGTGCTTCCAGGCCTATACGGAATACGAGACACATATGTGTGTGGATGAATTTGGCAACCCTGCAGAGTTTGTAGCAGAGAGAGACATGAATTTACTGGGGGATAAACCCATCTGCCATGTCTGTGGGAAAGAATTCACAACCACAAGCAATCTTAATAAACATGTTAAAATACATGGTGAGAAAAAGTTAGAATGTCCACACTGTGGAAAGAAATTCCATCATGAGGAATACCTAAAGGTGCATGTTCAAGCAGTTCATGAGAAAAAGCACAGATTCCAGTGTGAAGAATGTGGAAAATTTCTCACCTCCAAACCAGGTCTTGTCTCTCATATTAAACAGTTTCACTCAGACGAGAAGGTGGTGTACCCTTGTTCAGAGTGTGGAAAGGTATTCAATCAGAAGGGAAATCGCAAGATTCACATGTTTTCTCATATGAAGGAAAAACTTTTCAAATGTGATGAATGTGAAAAAACGTTTAAGTATCCTGAGCAGCTAAAGAAACACAAATTTATACACTCGGCAGGGGAGAAATTAAAATGCGAGTCATGTGACAAATTGTTTCCCAAGCAAGCTGATTTAGATAAGCACATACAGACAGCGCATAGTGGACTTATGTATGTGTGCAATATTTGTAATTCCCGCTGTGCACACAAACATACATTGCTCAGACATTACAAAAGGAAGCATCCCGAGTACATTGTATCCAGAGAAGATGGTTTTGTGAATTCACTGGTCCAGCGAGTAGACATGGGAGAGGAAACCCCCATGATATCTTATAGCTATGTAAATGACACCATTAGTGTTCCCATGGAAACTGTCACCATCGATGAAAATGCCTTACCTCAAGTAGCTGCTGAAGCCCTGAAGAGTTTATCTGGTACCATAGTAACCTCTGATCAACAAATCCTATCAGCCAATGGTATACAGACCTTGACATCAGCAGATATCATAAACGTGCCCAGTGTTGATGGGAGTTTCCAAATTCAGAATCTGGTCCATGACCCCAATAATCAAGATGACCAACAAACTGTAGTTATCCTTCAAATTGTGAACCCAGAGAATGAGCAAGCAGTTGTCACGGAGGAGGTCGAGGTCATTGGAAATGTAGTGGATCTTCCAGAGGTCAAGGACACAGATCAAGGTCAATTTGTCGCCTTGACCTAATTTTTTTGTGTTGAAAGACAAAATTTTAGGTATACATATATTCATCATTTTCTTCTACAAATTACTCATATTGCAGAATTTGTTTTTGCAAAACAGTTGCATTTTATTGTTTACTAGTTAAATTTGCCTTATCCTTATGCAATCAGTAATGAGTTACTACTCAGTAATTCTTCCTCAAGATCTTTTCATGTCGAGACAATCTAGCTTTATCATACAAAAATTCAGTTCTTGTGATTATAACCTGATTTATGGTAACTCGGGAATAGAAAACCATACAATGCAGACCAATTGATTTACAGTCTAATATTTTGAATTTTTTTTATTTCGTAAAATTTATTTTATTTCATGTAACGGTTAACAACATAATGTAAAATTGTTAAAAAAAATACTGTAAACGTATTACATTTAGCGGTGTATTCTATTCAGCGATTTTGGCGGGAAGCAGAGTCCGCTAATTCAATTACATCGCTAAATATCTTGTATATCATCTTTTATAACTAGAAAATTCAGACAACGCTAAATCAAATCTACGCTAACTTGCTGAAAATTGAATTTCTGCCAAATATGGTACACGCCAAATGTAATACATTTACAGTATATATATATACAGTTGAACCTCTGACAGCATCTTGATCACCAATATCTCAAATACAGTGGTAATGCTGAATTGATTTTGAAGTCACAATCTCTTTACTGAGGTATTTTACTGTGGAATCATTGGATATTTCAATTGTATTTTTTTTTTCTCAGTCTCTATATGAATATGGTTTGAGATAAATATAAATGTGGTTTGTGTGTATTTACAAAAGTATGAAGTTCAGTTTGTTGATAGGGTAAAAAAGAATAGTATTTTTCATGTTTTTTGGTATCAATATGCTGCACAATCACAGAAGATTTGCGAGTTATTGTTTGATTGACTGCTTCTTGCTAAATTGTTATGCTTGGTTCAAACTCCTAAATTTCTATTTATTGCAATGTTGATGTTAGTGTGTTCTGTTTATTTATTACAATGTAGAAAATAATATACAGAAACTGTTGAGTGTATACTTGAAAAGGCTTTCTTATTCCTTTTTGGAACATGGTTGATGTGTAATGAGTGACATATTTTTATTATCAGTCTCTGTATGTAAATCTCGGACTCATTTTAAAATCTTGTTTATGTACATGTATAACAGATAATGAAACAATTATGCAAAATGTTTTTAATATACAAAAGTGAGTAATGAGGGACAATTTTGTTTTGTTTTAAAACAGAAGTTGTAATCTTGTTCCTCTGCATCAAACATTAATACCAAACAATGCCTCTCTCTCAATGGCCAAACACAGATAATGCAGCTACTTAGAAATAATATTTCTAAACTTCTCACTCTAACTTGTGGGAAATACTCCTTTCTTAGATATTTAATTTAAGTGTATTTCAATGAAAGGGCAAATAATATAAGTAACGTTAAAAATTTGTGAGGGTGTGAACTGAATAGTGCTCCTCACACAAGTATAAATGTAAAATTTTAATAAAGCATTATAAATATGAAAAACACTTCTTGTTTATATTTTCAATTTTAAAGTTGCTGGATTTAGGGTTACTAGTTCATGTTTTAGGTCAAGATCAACAGGATATATGTGATTTCAAGTACAATTTTTCATGATCCCATGGGGCTAGTCTCAGTGGGGACCCATAAAACTTTTAGGGTGAGAAAATTTTTTAATCACCTGAAGAACAGCTTGGCTTTGATGGCTCAGGTGAGCATCGTGGCCCATCAGTCTCGTTAGTAGTAATACGTTCATATAGACCTTTAGCATAACCATTTTTCAATGTGACATGAAGATCGGAAAACATTTTGTCTGATGTTGGCACAAAAGTTGACCTAATTTGTCAATGGAACTCAAATCTGCATAAACTGGCTATAGAAGGCAGATGATTTAATTACCATAGTTGGCACTTTCTGAGAAAATTGTTTGCAAATCACAATTCAACACATTGCACAGAACTTTGACAAGTGAAAAATGTTTATTTAATACATATTCTGATACAATTACAAGCACAGAACACTCACAAAATACAATAATTTTATCAAACAATACAAAAAGTGAAAAATACATTTAGATATAAATGCTGGTATACCTATAAGAACCAAGGCATTCATAAAACAAAATATAATCACAGACATTATGAAGACACATAGTAAATCATCAATCAATACTGCTGTCATATACAGTATTTTAACATGATTGCAAACATGAATTGAGCACTAGGTTAAAAAATTGAACATTTATTTTTCTTGATGAATATGATGTGGGGCTAAAAAGTAGTGGTACATTGCATGTATTGTATCTATGTATAGCTAATACATGACAATGTACCAGAATCTATATGTTTGATATTTATAATGTCTACATGCCAATAAAAGGCTATAACATCATGTACATGTACAGTAGTACCCGTACATTTGATGTAATTTTTCGCTTGAATATATAAAACCATGGTTTGCATACATGCAATTGTCCTATTTTCTATATACATGTTTATACACAAGCTTTATCTATCTGCACATCTGGCCTGCAGTTGCACAAGCCCTATAAATATAGATAAAATATTGCAACCTTTTGGAATGCATTTGACAACATGGACAATATAATTGTTAAATGATTAGAATTTTGTGCATGCCCACTAATAATTTTTAGAAAACATTTTATTAAAAAAAGAATTTTATGGAAATATTTTTGAAAGACAGCTAGCTTTTTGGTATACACTGCAAAAGCTCTTTGCATACAATGCACAAGTATAATTTTCACAATAATTGTACAAATTTATACAAATTCTTAAAATTTAATTAAAAAAAAAAAAGAAAGCTCTCTTCAACCTTTATCAAAACTTAACCAAAGATACCACAAAGAATAAAAGTATTTTAAAAGTTGAATGTAAAATATTTAAGTGTACAACTGCTAAAATAACAGCTGTAAAATCTAGGCAAGAGGCCTTGGGTTTGGTCTGACAGTGTTCAGTAAATTTTCTAAAATTCAAACCATTTCATTTGAAAAAACCCTGACTAGAAATTATGGTCTTGCATGAGAAATAAACACTGTTAAAACTGAGTCTATTACAAAACAGTACTGTAACATTAAGATGGCCGACTGTGTTAAGTTAACATTTTTTCGTGTGATGGATCAGTGAATTCTATTGGTCAGAAGGCCTTGAGTATCTTCCAATAGTCGCTCCACCCTTACCCTCTGTCAAAATGAAGTAAATATACAGATATGTTGATATTATTGATTTTTTTCATTAATTCATAATCATGGGAGTACCTTAAAATCACATAAAACAACGCTTTCTTTAAAAACTACATCAAGCTGTCCTTTTCATTTAAAAAGCATTATGAAGCAAATAGAATGTTATATATTAAGGGTAATAAAATAGTCTATTTAAAAAATCGGAATTCACCCTTTCAAACAATTTTACCTCAAGTTTATCCAGGCGATCTTTTCTTTCCTCTCTTTCTGGGTACGCTGGTACTAAAGCCTGGAGACGCACTGCCTTTAGAGCTGTAGGTTGACAGGCAATCAAATGGCTTATTTCTTGTGCCTAAATTAAATATAATAAATAAAATAACAAAACATAATGTATTCTAGCTTTAGGGTTTAATGTTTTTATATATTAGTCTTTGAACATAATACTACAGATCCCATAATCCAAAAAAATGTGCAATTTATGATGCAATTATTTTTGTGCACTGTTAGGAAGAATTTCTCCATTTTCCAGCATTGGCCAATCAACTACTTTTCATTCCCTAATTATAGACATTTTTTATAATCAATCTGTATGTTTTATCCACCTCCCAACCCTTTACACTCATTTCTACAGGAGGTACACTAGCTTGATTTGAATTGTCTGTAGGATTACACAAATTTTACATCAAGCCAGTTTATTGGTCTGTAGGAACAACCACAGAAAATATCCATTATACAGTAATTGTATACCTACCCGATTTGCTTGATATCTTAATCTCATGATCCTTAACCTATTTCTTGCCTCTGCAGCTCTGAAAATGCAGAAAATCATTTTAAAATGATTTTATAGTTTAATGGTACATTAATGGTACATATACAAAGTTAAGTTATTATTACCAAGCATATGTTTAAAAAAAAACATTAACTGCTGCAAGCACAAAGGCAAGCCAAAGGCATACTTTTCATAAAAAAATATAATTTATATATTTCATACAAAACTAGTAAATATATGACTTTATATTTCAGTTGTCCTAAGTATTTGTAATTATATCTCAGTAAACAGATGATTTACTTCAGTTGTTTTGAGCATTTGTAATTTTGTAGTGTGATCTGTGTAAATATATTTGACTTACTTTAGTTGTCCAATGAGCTTTGCATGTTTATCTCTTTCGTCATATTCTTCTTCCGGCAAATCTTGATTGGCCCTAACAAAAATATGTGTTTATTTGCTAGATTATTCTTTGAAATTGAGCTAAATGCAAATTCAAGTAAAGTTAGCAAGGTCAAAGGAAAGGTCCAGGTCAAAAAATGACAGCTTACATACATCAGTATGAATCAACATCTTAAGTTTGATAAAAATATCTTGAATGGTTTCTTTATTAAAGCTGAGCTAAACACTATTTAAGAAAAGATAGGTCAAGGTCGAAGGAGCACTATTCAACATGTATCAGCATATGAAGTATTATAGAAAATACCTCAGTCTGAAATTGAGTAGAAAGCAAAGTATGAAGGAAGGACATATGGAAGGATGGAGAGAGGAAAGGATGGAAGATGGACCTGACAATGTCCCGGCCATATTCATTGTGGACTGTATAAACATTGACTATAATTTTTCTATGATTCAGCTTTGACAATACATATTTGGGTAGCTCTGATGCCAAAGAATAGCTATCAAAAACTTTATGTTAATCTGAGCCTGTTTACCTCATGATCATTCTTCTTTTCTCTAGCAGCCTTTTCTTTGTAGCTCCCATGGCATCTGACACTTCTTTTGGGGGATCTTCATACTGTTATTGATACATGTAATATATCTTGTTGTTAATATATTTTACAGCAGTAAATTTGAATTCAATTAAAGTTAAATAAGTTAAAAGAAAAATTTATTTCTCAAGTTTGAAATATCACCACCAAGTACATGTATCTGTGTACATATAAAGTTTGAAATATTACCGCCAAGTATCTGCTTCTTTGTTGTGGAGCCATTTTTTTCAAGTCATGCTGATCCACTTTCTTCCTGTTCTTTGGTTTAAACTTTCCTCCTTGACCATCATCATCCAATGGAGGTAAGCTCTATTAAAGAAATTTGATTTTCAAGATCATTATCTTGGAACTTTTATCAATATCTTGCATATATATATTTTTTTCCATTTTTTTTAATATAGTAAATTTTCTCATTGTTATAAAGATTCAAGTGCTGGTGAAATGAAATGAATTATGAATATAACCTGTTTAGTCAGATCTACTCATAGGTATCTCTTTTAAAATATTACTGATGATCAGGTCCATTCTAAAGCAATTCATGAGCTAATAAGCAATAAAGCCAATATGTGTGAATGAATCAATAAACATAGCCATAGGTACAGGGGTTGGGGTGCACCCTATAATTTTGCCGATAAATAAGACACAATAGAAAACTGAACTACTATTTGCTTGTGTCCCCTCAATATCTTCCAATGACCTTATCAAAATTCAAATTTAATTAATAATTATATGAATTCAATCTGAATGTCATTTGGAAAATTTTAATTACTTTAATTTTGATGAAAAAGAATATATTTTCTATTGGGAGTAGGTCCTTTAAATTTACGTATGGGACCTGAAGGCAAAAGGTTATTAAGCTCCTGTGTTAAACTGCTTTCGTTCAAAACACCATGGCAAAAACAAGTTAATTAGAGTAAAGGAGCGCCACTAACCATCTTGGATTTCAGGGGATGCCTCTGTTCACATTTGATTTAAATCAATATCTACAATGTTCCTGACGGTGTCGATTGAGATCTAGCTTTATAAATGATTGAATAATGCCTTTCAAATGTCTGCTAATTTGAACTTGCCATATAAAACATGCAGTAAACCCAAAACGTCCTCTATACCATGCACAGAAATCGAAAGCAACAGAAGTGTTGATTTCCAATGATGAAAAATGTAGAGGTGTCCTGGAATTACACAGAAAATCTAGAGAGGTCAGAAACCGTGCCAAACTTGTTTTCTCTAGATTTTCCGTGTAATTCCGGGACGCCTCTACATTTTTCATCGTTAGAAATCGACACTTCTAGCTGTTGCTTTCGATTTCGAAATTCAAGATGGCGAGTGGGGCTCCTTTACTCGATCTTTTTATGTATAGTAAAAATGACATTTTTAAAACGTGCTAATTTCAGCGAATTTTCATTTTTATTTTAATGAGGGTATTCAGACCCACCTAGAAAAACACATAATACACAAAATACGCCATCCTGAAACCAGCGCCTATGGGCGAAAATACTTCATATGCACTTTCCAAAATGCTTTTGTTTTGCCTTCATTTCAGATAAAAACAGTTCAATCACTGAATCAGGATAAATCAATACCGTATTTCTGCATGAACCTTGCATTTTAATTTGAGACTATAAGTTTAATTCAGTTTGTCCCCATGAAATCATGAAAATAGTAGATTACTAACCGGCATGCTTGTATGTCCTCTGGCCCTTGAGAACACTTCCCCTTAAATTATACAGTCTAAAAATGAACTTTTTTGTCTGTAATTTATCTAGTCATAATTCTGTTTGCCGCCATATTGTATACAGTTGTCTAGCAACTTTAGCGACATCTAACGGGTAACTCTAACATTAAAAATCTCTATCTCTAAAACGTTTGATAAAATGAAAGTGAAAGGAATCTCAGTGTGAGCCAAACTGACATTGACTAATTTTTTAACAGGTGTCCGGATGTCTTCAGGTTTACAACTTTTATATGTTTTGTAGCTTTATTTATGTCATGATAGCATTCTTTATTGTCATCATGTTGTATGCATGTCTAGCTTTTACTCAATAATCTTCAAAATCATATATCAAAATGTTTTTATGGAAAATATTGTAGTCATATGCCTAATCTTTCAAAAACTTGACAGTATGAACATCTCTAAGTAAGTAAGTAAGTAAGTAAGTAAGTAAATTTTATTTAAAGTCGGCATTGTATACAATACATAACAAGAAACATGAGCTCTGTAGAGCTCTTAAACCGACTATCACAGTTAAAATATCACAGGAAAACATTTACAGCATAAATTAACATGCAAAAACACATGTACATATATACACATACAAATGACAAATAAAACGAATTTTAAGAATTTAACAAATTATAAGAATTTATTATTTCATTAGAATAAGTTAAAGAAAAAATAGACAAATTGAAAAGCAATACGATTGCATTAAGAGGAACAAAAATAAATATAACGTGAGTATTATAAATAAATAAATAAATAAAAGTTATATGATAATAATAAAAATTAAGCATGTTTAATCCATAAATTCAGATAAAAAAATAACTAAATGTATTATTAATAATAATTATAATAAATAAATAAATAAATTTGAAAGTTTAGAAAATTAAAAATTCACACAGACATAGCTAAACCAAATTTGAGAAAGAAGAAGGGGAAAAAAAAATAACTAAAAAAAAAAAAAAAAATAATAATAATAACAGTAATTTAGAAATAATTTATGTTCCTCATCAATACACATCCTGCCTAGTGATTGGGTCAATCCCTACCTACATAGGCAAGATATGCATTGTTGTGAGGGTAAAGAAAAAAAAAATAGTAAAAGAAACACTAGAAAACTATGAAATAAAATGAGTTGGTATCATCAAAGCAAATGAAAGACTCAAAGACTCAAAATGGTTAAGTATTCATTGCAGTGTGCCGCAGTTAAAGCATAGAGTAGATGAACTTCCCCATGTCATCATGCTTTTTACGTAGACATTATTATCTTGAATGGATTAGATCATCAGATGGGGAGGGCAAAGACTTATGGAAGTGTCTATCGGCACGACGGTCGTGCCGATAAATTTCGTTATCCGCACGACGGTCGTGCTAATAACAGTTCTTATCCGCACGACACAAGAGAGATAACTCTAACATTAATAAATTATTTTTGTATTATTCCATTCTTGGGTATTTTTCTAAGGTTATGTTGATTGGAGCAAAAATTATATATTATATAGCCTGTACACAAATATTTTTCTCATAAAAATATACTTCCCTTTATTTACGGTCTTCATTAGTCTTTCCCTATTTTAATTCTCTCTCTCTCTCTCATTTCTTCCGAATACTTCACGTAAAAATTATAATATGGGTAAAATATTATGTCGAATTTTCCGTATTATTTTTTGAGACGTGTACATGATGTAAGTCCCTAAGTGCCGCTGAAATTGTGCACGTGAATTGCGCCCACAGTCGAGAAATTGACCATGCGGTAAGTAGAACTGCGATAGTTTGAAGGATTCAAGTGTGAAAAAACCTCGCGGATTTTTCGACAGGGGCGACCCATAGTCCCCAAAATGATAGAGAGAATCCACTGGCAGTTAATGTTAATTTTGTTTTGTTTATAAATATGATATAAACATTCATTAGTTGCATTTTAGTTATATATGTATACTGCATGTATAAAAATGTTTTGAATTTCCAAAATAACACCGCACCCCTAAAAAATATAATAATTATGGTTAGCTTAAATTTATTCTATGCTTCATCATGTTTATTATTTTAATTTTTACATACAGCACACAGGCACTTGTTTAGGAAATAATTTTTAGACCCATAGTATAATAATAACACAAGGTGTTTTTATTATACTATGGGTTTAAAATTTATTTCCGAAACAAGTGTCTGTGGTACAGCATTATTTTACAAATAAGAAAACTATTACTCAGAATAAAAATTCGAAATTTTATTTATTTAGAAAGAAACACTACTGTGAACATGATGGATTTAAAAAACAAACATCACAAAACATGAAAGAAACGTTCTGAAAGAGGGTAACCTTGTTTGTTCTTTTAATTATTACCATAGGGAGATCGTAATCTTGATTCATATATTATACTAGTTCATGTATCATATCAAGGGTGTATATAAAATTAAAATTTGCGTGTCGTATTTCGAAATAAAAATGCCGTTTTTTTAGGGGGATCTTTCTTTTCCTTTCTTCTTTTTTTTTTCTTGGAAAAATCATATCAGTGCAAAAAACGGCTAAATCACATTTTAAAAAAAAAAAGCTCTTGCATAGGATCTCCTGAATAGTAAGCATGGAAAAAGGTAGGTTAACTTTATGTGGATGTCTAATAAATAAAATTTGTTTTGAGTTTCAACGTAAAGAAGCAGAATGACAGTCATGTTAAAAATCATATCAAAGTAAAAATATAGTACAAATAAACGTATAATTAATATAAATTAATTTTGAAGTTTGTCGTGCGAATAACGTTTATAATTCGCACGACCGTCGTGCGGATAACATCGGTAATTAGCACGACCGTAGTGCGGATAGCCTCGGCCAAGACTTATATATGATAATATTGTGATATAAAGTGATTTACAGTAACTTCAAACCATATTTGTCTTATTCTGTGTCTCAGAACAGGCTTCGAAACTCAACTAGCTACAGTGTAACCTTGTTATCTCAAATACCGATATCTCAAATGCCAGGGATATGTTAAATTGATTTGGCATTCCCAACCACTTTCTTTTATGTTTTTTATCCCCATTTACGAGGCCTGTTGTATCAAATCCTCAGATATATTGAAGTCTTGATCCTGCTGAGTTTAAGAAAATTTGATTGTACATACAAACCACAATGCTTAGACAGAATTTTTTTGGTCAAATTCTTGCAAAAGTACACCAGGACATTATGAATTACTAATAAAATCATACATCTCTTCATTCTCTTGCTTTATTTTTCAAGATTTTGAGAAACCAATCATTGATGAAAATGTACTCACTTTTACCATTAATAGGTATAATACTGGTCTGAAAGAATAGCCTTTAAAGTGTTCCAATCATGTTAGCAGGAATATGTGATGTAATTTTGTGAATGAATCTTGCAGTAACAAACTATGCATGTGAGCAGCAAGTAATACATGTATCATTAAGAATATTAATATATTTTTTTACAGGATATCAGTATGCTGAAAGTTATCTGGAATGTTATAAAGAAGATTGTTAATATTCTTCTTTTAATACTCTCCCCAATCAAACGACTGATATGTGGGAGAAAGAGACGGACATCAGACACAATTTTACCTTTGTCAAATCATTACTCAATTCCAAAAGATTTCAACCAGATGCCTACAAATACTAAAGTAAGTTGTTTCAGTTCTAATGTTATGTCAAATAGTGCAGTTATTTCACCTACACTGCATAAAATACAGATTTGAGAAGGATTTTTTTTCACTGTGGCAAAGAAATTTATTGTTTTCGAATTTAGAAATACTTTCATGGTTATTATAACAAAAAACTTAATTTAAAAAAAAAAACTAAAGAAAAACTGTGCAGTATGTTACATTTCCAGAGCAGTAGTTGTCAATGTTGTTTTCTTGCAGGAGGAATTTCAGGCCTGGGATGACTGGAACACAGACTCCAAGAAACAGACAACCAATGGACAACTGGGAAATCCCAGGATGATGAGGGGCTCCCAGGGGGAGGAAGAGGAAGAGGAGGAAATTGATTATTTCTCAGACATGACACCAAAAATTAAAAAGCAGAAAAAGGTTTTCATTGATCCATTTTTCCCTATACTCATTTTGAGAGCCTAACTGTAAAGCTTCTATAATAATTGTGGTGTTTTTTTTTGTATTTTGAGGGTAAAAATATTAATTCATTTGAGCTTTTATGCAGGTTTATATTGGAAGAGACTCAGCAATGTCCAAGTCCAGTACAGATAAATTTGCTTTTGCTGGAGATGCTCCCATAAATCAGGTCTTGGATATGTAATTGTAAAAACAATTTCAGATATAAAATTTTATCAGCAAGGTTCCATTTAAGCAAATAAGCTTTACTTTAAATTCATGAAAAAAATGAGGATTTTTTCTAGATTATAAATATTTGAAACCCAGCATTATTTTCTTAATTTAGGGTTCAGAACTGGGTTCCTGGGAGGACACAGAGAATGCATGGGGAGATGAATCAATGGAGGATTTATCTTGGCATGCTGATGCAGCCATTAAACAGAGCAGGAAGTCCGAGCAGCAGAGACGGCTTCAGGAACACGCCAGGCGGAAAATGGAAAAAGAACAGGCCCGCAACAAAAAAGACAGTGCATTCTCAGCGGTCAGACTGACGTCATGATACAGTGTACACTGAATTCATCTTCAAATCATTGTGTCAAATATTCTCATGTGCAATGTTTATCAAGATTGAGTGGGGTGTGCAAGTTGTGCATTTTGTTATATAATATGTACCCAATTTCAACATTGTTTAGGATGTGATCGTTAAATTATTCTTTGAGTAATTGTTAAATAAGGCCATTCCAAGTTTTTTCTCTGTTTAGCATCCACCCATCTTTCAAAAACCTACCTACCTATTCGCAAAAAACACATAAGCCAAAACATAAAAGTGATAAAAATGATGTCCTTCAAATGATTTGATCTAACTAAACTGCTTTAATAGAAGAAATATCTATTCTTAAGCAAAAAAAGGGATTAAATGCTTAAAATACCCCCAATATAACTTACTGTATAGAATTATTTGGAGAAATTGACAAAATTAAAAAATTTCGATTAAATTAATCAATTTCAGGACTCCTGATGTTGTGTGTTTTTTCTTATATTGGGTGTCAAAAACCAAGGCGCACGTGGACGCTAAACATGGAAAAAACTTGGAATGGCCTAATTTACAAATAATGAAAGGTCTAAGAGGAAGAAATAGTTGTTACCAATGATAAAATGTCTTAGAAAATTTATTTCCACAAATTTAAACATTGTATTTTACAAAAAAAAAAAAAATTGATGTCAGATTTTGTTCTTTCATGTACAAAGATAAATGTTTTGAAAAGGTTTTACCATAGAAATACATTACTGCAATATTAAACTTTCACAAGTGTTATCTCATTTCAAAGGATTTAGCATAATTAAGACAGATAATGCTGTTTTCCCTTTATAACATTACCAACTTTGTGGGATAATGTCTGACAAATGAAATCTTTATGTATCACACCCTTATTAATCTGGATGCTTCACCTTCATGAAGAAACCTGTGGGGAATAATTTACATACCGGTAAAATTATGTACCAGTAAACCAAATGTTTCATTAAAGCAGACAAATTGCTTGGGAACAATTTTTTGGATAAAATGGATTTGACTGTACTTTACTATTATTGTACTTTACTATTTCCCCATACAATGCCAATAAAGAAAAGGTACAACATAATCCACAAGCATTGATAGATTTAAAGTAGGTACTAGTAAGTTGAAGGATGTTGCAAGATTTCTAAGCTAAGGTAGATAATTACTGGTATTAAAAATGTGAATGTCAACAATTGTTCCTAAATATACAAGTTCTTGAAATAATGAATTCAAGTATATGAAGCATATGTCTGTACAAGCATGTATTCTCACCTTGTTTCTTTGATGGAATAAATCTTTTGATGCACTGTACATAATTACAGCAATGAAGTGGGATTAAGTGAAATATAAATATACATGTATATGGATTTTCTTTGAATATATCAGAACTTATTTTCAATATTTTTCAAAAGGGTGAGATTTTTTCTAAACCTGGATTGAATTGTTCATTGTGTATGGAAACTTTTTCTTGCAGTCTAGTCCATTTATACTGAATATTTACAACAGAAGGATGTAAAATAGTAATGTTACCAATATTTGTATATAAATTTATCTTTATACATTTCTAATTTGCTCTTTTCGATACAAAACCTTTCATTAGGTCATATCTGTTGCAGATTTTCTCTTTTAAATATTACTGCAATTAATTTTCAGTTAGAGTAAGCTCCCTTGTTCATTCTGCAATAATTTTTCTCAAATTACAGTGTAATATGACTAATATCCAAACAAGGATAATAGTGGCATAATTATTAACATTATCAGCAGGAAAAAAAACTTGGATTGTGAAATTGTTGCAAATTTTCAAACTGAGGCATGTCATAATAAGTTGGTTTTGAGGAATCTCTTTCAATAATTATGTGCTATGTTTTTTTTTATTTCTGTTTTTATAAGCAGTTATGGAGGTAAAAAACTTATTTATAAAATTCTTCTTGCATATAAATCTTGAATTTAATAAATTTTTATAAAACAACAATCATTTGTGTTTTTAGCTCAAACTCAGATGACCTTTGTGATCACATTTGTCCTTCATCCTGTCTGTAATTCTTTTTATTTTTACTTTTCTCCAGTAAAAGTCAATGTTTAGGATTGGGGCAATTTCATCAAAAGTTTCAAATTCATTCTTGGGTGGAAAGAATTCAAGTTTCTTCAAATGAAGGGCCACGCTCCCTTTCAAGGGAGATAACTGACAATTTGTTAAATGTCCTCAAAATCCTCTTGATGTTATTAAATTAATATACAGGAAGTTACTGTCTAGACCATTTTTTTGCAGATTTGAATTGAAATTTATTCAAAACAACACGCATAAGAAAATCATGTACATTATGGGCATGTAATATATATCCATACTCTAAATTAACATTAACTTCCAGTGCCTGGATGTTTTGCAGCTATTCTAGATGCACTTAAATTAACAAAAGTTAGAAAGTGGCAGGTGAGCTAAACAAGAGGCCCATGGGCCACATCGCTCACCTGAGCAATGTGGATAGGAAAAAAGCAGAAATCAGTTTATGGTTGAAAAGTTTAAACCCAGTAGTGGTCTAAACCAATCCTTAAAAGGGAGATGGTATGATTTCAAAATATTGAACAAACTTTAATCTTCACTAACTAAGGATGCATGCATATTTCTTTGATTACCTGTGGCTTTATTGCCCTTCACATTTTAACTTACATTGTTATACCCCCAGGGGTCATGACTTGAACAAAATTGAATCTTCACTACCTGAGAATGCTTTCATATGAACTTCACTAATCATGGTTTTGCTATTCTTGAAAAGAAAACGATTTTTTCTACATGTTTCTATGTAAAACTTGGATTCCATGTTGTGGCCCCGCCTTACCCCTTGGGGTCATGATTTGAACAAAAATTGAATGTCCACTGCCTGAGGATGCTTCTATAAAAATATGATCATTCATGCCTTTGCTATTCTTGAGAAGAAGATTTTTAAAGAATTTTTACTATATATTTCTATATAAATGGCCATTGTGGCCCCGCCCAACCCCCGAGGGTCATGATTTGAACAAACTTGAATCTACACTACCTGAGGATGCTTCCTTATAAGTTTCATCTTTCCTGGCACAGTGGTTCTTGAGAAGAAGATTTTTAAAGAATTTTCCTATATATTTCTATGTAACCGGCCATTGTGGCCCCGTAACCCCCGAGGGTCATGATTTGAACAAACATCTACATACACTGCTTTGGTAAGTTTCATCTTTCCTGGCACAGTGGTTCTTGAGAAGAAGATTTTTAAAGAATTTTCCTATATATTTCTATGTAACACTTTGATCGGCCATTGTGGCCCCGCCCAAACCCCGGGGGTCATGATTTGAACAAACTTGAATTTACACTAGTTGAAGATGCTTCCCTTTAAGTTTCATCTTTCCTGGCACAGTGGTTCTTGAGAAGAAGATTTTTAAAGAGTTTTCCTATATATTTCTATGTAAAACTTTGATCAGCCATTTTGGGTACCCCCAGTGGTCATGATTTGAACAAACTTGAATTTAAACTACCTGAATATTTGTAAGTTTCATCTTTCCTGGCACAGTGGTTCTTGAGAATAAGATTTTTAAAGAATTTTCCTATATATTTCTATGTAAAACTTTGGTCGGCCATTTTGGCCCCGCCCTACCCCCAGGGGTCATGATTTGAACAAACTTGAATTAACACAAATTTTGTTTCATCTTTCCTGGCACAGTGGTTCTTGAGAAGAAGATTTTTAAAGAATTTTCCTATGTATTTCTATGTAAAACACCCATTTTGGCCCCGCCCTACCCCCAGGGGTCATGAGTTGAACAAATTTGAATTTACACTAGTTGAAATTTAAGTTTCATATATTCCTATATATTTCTATGTAAAAATCATTTTGGCCCCGCCTTACCCCCAGGGGTCATGATTTGAACAAACTTGAATTTACACTACCTGAGGATATAAGTTTCATCTTTCCTGGCACAGTGGTTCTTGAGAATAAGATTTTTAAAGAATTTTCCTATGTATTTCTATGTAAATCTTTGATCGGACATTTTGGCCCTGCCCTACCCCCAGGGGTCATGATTTGAACAAACTTGAATTAACACTAGTTGAGGATGCTTCCCTTTTAGTTTCATCTTTCCTGGCACAGTGGTTCTTGAGAAGAAGATTTTTAAAGAATTTTCCTATGTATTTCTATGTAAAACTTTATCGCTATACCCCCAGGGGTCATGATGAACAAATTTTTACACTAAGACTTAATTTTCTTTCCTGGCACAGTGGTTCTTGAGAAGAAGATTTTTAAAACATACCATCAAATTTTTATAATTTCTTGACAACTTTCACTAAGCAGTGGCCCCAGCATGAATCCCCTTGACCTAAGGATACTTTGTGCCAAGTTTGGTTGAAATTGGCCCAGTGGTTCTTGAGAAGAACGAAAATGTGAAAAGTTTACAACGACGACGACGACGACGACTACGACGACAACGACGACAGACAAGACAAAATCAGAAAAGCTCATGAGCCTTTGGCTAATGGCTAAAAATATGAAATCATAATCTAGTATTTTGAGTGGCTTGACACATTTTGTACAAATTTGAGTTTGGCTAACAAGGAAGAGGGATATACTATAACCAAGTGGAAATAACCATTTCAGGGTCATGATGATGCATTATCTGTAAGCTGCTACACAGACGGTATTTCCCCATTCAAAGTATAACCACATATTGCGATATCTTTATTTTATTGCAAAATTTTATGAATACATGAGTGTATGAATAAAACAGTCAATAGCAATATTTTGCTATATAAATGAATCAGGTCACATGATCACTGGTCAGTCGGTCCTCCACAGCTTTGGCCACCGCTTGCTGTAACACTGGATACAGTTTATGACACACCTCAATACACTGCTTGGTAGCCTGAAAAGGACAAAGGTCAATTAATTTTTACAATTTAATTAAAGCCTAAGTGATAGAAATATGCCCTTATTGACATTTTATTGACAATCTCCCCAATTATCGTTAAGAGGGTGTGGTCCTTTATTTGAATAAACTTGAATATTGGTAAGGTTGACAGCAGTGTTTGAAATAACTGTGCGTCCGACCGCCTGAGACACACAAATTTTGTGAACAGATTTGCAAGTATCGACACCCGGCTGGACGTGTTAAAATTTCCCTTAAATTTAAATTCATATATTTGATAAATCTTTCACAGATAATCTCATAGTATCGGTAGCAAAGTATAATAGATAAAAGGCATAGAATTCATTAGCCTATAGAATGATTCAGAATCGAGTTATGGTGGTCTGGCCCCATTCACATAATGACATTATCGCTATAAATAAATTTGTAAAGACTAGAGGATTTTTGGCAGGGCTGACAACTTTCACTAGCAGTCAGCCCAGCATGTCTAGCTAATTTTACGGTGAGTTTCAAACACTGTTTACAGGCAGATGGACAGACAGAAAGATAAATGAACTTGAGTTTAATGGACTTGAGCCCAGAAAGTCAGATAAATTGACAAATGACAACTTAATTTTAGTCTTACCGAACCCCACAGTGTATCAATCAATTGGCATCATATTACAGAGAGCTATATTATTTAAATTAATATGAATAGGAAATATCTACGCTGAAACCCCTCCCCAAACAAAACCCAAAGAACTGTATGTATACATGCTTACCTTATTGAGTAATTCAAATTCCACTTCTCCTTTAGAGGTGACAGCAGAAACTTGGTTCAGAGATGGAAGCAGTCCAACAGTGACACTGCCATTACCTGTCTGGTTGTCACTCTAAATAATGAAAAAAACTTCAAATAGTAGAACTGCACATTACTGTGTTAAAATTTTCTACCCTTCAAAAATAATTGTCTTTTACGTAAGATCTCTCTGTCAAAATCTTACCTCAGGTTTATATTCCTCCTTTTCTGTGGGATCTATGAACACCTGAAAGGGGGTTATCCTCTGAAAAATTTCAATTGTATTTTGCTTGTATTAAAATACCATTTCATAATCATTTAAACATCAGTTACACTTCACATAATTAAATAAAGTAGAGATAGATAGCAACCACGTGATAGAATTTGCATATTGGCACGTGTACAAAAAGTTATAGATGTAAAAATATTTTTCATGTTCCAGAAGCTGTTAAATGAGTTTAATAAATAAACTGGTGATGGCAATGAGTACTTACTGCAGAACACCCCACTACCAGATCATACATCTCTATCCCAGCATTGGCCAGAGCTACAGAACAGCAGGTCAGGGATGTGGCCAGGGCTGAAGTATTAAATGGACTTTAGTACATTACATAAAGAACAATGCTGCACTACTCATCTCTTTATATCACTCAAAAAGGGTATGAAGAATGGTATAATGAGAGAGTATAAAAACATGTTAATAAGAAGACTGTGACTTTACAAAAGCATTTTTTGAAATACATGTATTGTACATGTATTCTACATTTAAGAAGAGTCCTCACAAAAAAAGTTATCTCGAAAATTAATTGTGTACTTACGACAACCATCATTCTGTAAAACTGTTACATATACATTAACTTGGGCCTTTGGAAATTTATGCTGAAAAACAAACAAATGAGAAATCTAGATATTTTTATCAATCTATTAACAAGATCACTGTTCCAAGCTAAAACAGAAAACAACAATAATTGTTACCCAGGTTTTACAGACTTTTATCAAATCAATTTCATTCTTCAGACAATGATGTCATAAATTTAAGCACCTATATATTCAAAAAATAAACTTTTTGATCAACATGGAGTCCATAAGCAAAACCTAAAAAAATACTTGGGCACTGATTATTTAACTGGTTCACTTACCAGACAGACAGCTGGTTCCAGTGCGTCTTGTAACTGACTGCTGTAGTCGCGCTCCTCATTATCCTGCTGGTGTTGACGTCGGACTCGACACGAGAACGTGGCAAACTTAAACTCACACGTCAACTGGCCTTTCATACTGAATTCTTCTTTCTTCACCACTTCCCTTGGGCCATACCTGAAGTCAGTTAAAATGCATGTACATATACTACATCTATCTACTAAGTAAGAAATCTTGTGATGAAAGCTTTTCTCTGTGAAAATATTACACTGCACTTAAAACCTGGGATGTATTCTATAAGCATTTTAACTACAATTAAGTTTCACAGAATCTTAATTACTATAATTTCAGTTAAGTGTGAAGTTTTGCATTACATCATGATCTTTTTTGACTTATGCATCCTTAGTAAACAATTCATGCCCCCGCTGTGTGATTGGTCAACCCATATTATCAACATTGATATGGAAATAGTCTGTTGCACGTGCAACCAATCAGGGATTAGAAAAAAACTTCCAGTCGTACAGTTTGCAGTTAGGAGGCGTGTACTATTTATCTTGAGTGCAGCCGCCATCATAGGTTGTGACATAATGCAAAACTTCACACTTAACGAGGCCCGATCTACTTCATCTGCGCATACGTTTTAACGCAGCGTCGAATCATGCAAGTCACAATACCCTTGACTGCCGTCACAATTGATCACAATAACGTCACAATTAAAATGACGTCAAATTGCGCTAAAATGTTTCGCTGATCTTGCTGACTATGCATTGAAAGCTGGCATTTCTATTTTTTTTTTAAAATATTTAAAGTAATAAACAACTTTGGAACCTAATTAATTTTGAGGGATCAGTTTTTTGGTACAGATTCATTAATTTTATCCTGTTTTATTTCAATTTGGGAGTTAAAAAAAAACAAACACTGCAACTAAAAGTAAACGATTTTAGTCTTTCTCTTTGAACATGTTGAAGTGTTTATACACACTCTTTTTATTGCGGACTTAAATAAGCATGGATTATCTTCAGTTTTAAAAAATAAAATAAGTCTATAAATCATTTAAATTGAACCCCCGAAATATTTTATTTTTCTAATATTACATGATATTAGTAAAATCGTATTTTTGTAGCCTTTACCCCCCTCCCCCCCCCCCCCCCTCCTCCCTCTACCCCTTTTTGTCACGCAAAACAACGTCGCGTGTTAAAAGAAAAATAAAGCATGGCGAGAAAATTATTTCATAATGTAAGAATTATTTATTTTTAAGAAACAAATATACAGTATTGCAATCGTTTGTTGGTGTTATGTAAGCCCATTGCGACCTATAAAATACGTAGTTAGACAGAATAAATCCAAATTTTGTGTTTTGACATGCCCCCTTTTCACTGCAATAAAGGCTACCTCCAATTTTCTTTTCATTTTTTATAAGAAGAATGAAAATTGCATGATATATGTGAAAAACAAAGAATTTCATCATGTATTTTTTTTTAATTTGTAAATTTCTTTGTTTATTGAACAGTTTTAGTATGTAATTGTGTATAAAAACACGAAAAATGGTTCATATCTTGACAGTGCCCCCATTTCACTACAATAAAGGCAAGGTAACAAAATTTCATTTTAATTTTTCTAAGCATAAAACATACAAGTATATTTCCAAGAATTAAAAATTTTTATCATTCCGTTTTCATAATTTTCAACTAGATCGGGCCTCGTTAACTGAAATTACTAGTATTGAGAGGAACTTACACAGCACACATGATCTTGGTTTCATTCTGTTCAATGTAAGCCGAGCCTCTTGCCTGACTTATTACACCAGCCTTTAAAACTGTAAAAAAAAAAAGGAAAGTAATTTAAATACAAATTGTCCTATATATGACAATCATGAAATATGGTAGGGCTGAAATATGTAATATCGCGATTACTTCACAGTCATCCAACTTATTACCGCTCTTTTGCGTGGGAGTAGAGAAAGCTCTAAATCTCGCAAGATTTCTGGGGGCACATGACATTGTTTACAGTAGTGACAATCGAATGATTCGAGCAATTTTATGCTGAAAGTACAATGTATTGCCAAGGATTGAACTCCAGTTAGTAGATTGTCAAATAAGGAGTGTTTAGAATATTTTATCAGCTTTGAAATGTGACGATTTTCAATGAAAAGAGTCTGCTTAGTTAAAAATATCATTAAAAATGTACATTTTAGGATTTGCTCCTCTCAAAAAAATTGATTAGGCTGGTTCAGCGATTGTTTAGCAAGGTATTTCATTTCAGGTTTTTACTTATCTGTCCTTATAAATTCTACAATGATCAATCTTGCATTGTATTCAATAGCACATTTGCCCCCATCCAACAGCCCTTTCCTACCTCCATCACGAAAGAATTCTGGTAAGTTAAGTAATCGCAATATCAAGTATTCAATTTTTCTCCCTTATATCAAAACCTATAAAATTCTAAAGAGCACAGCCTGAACAGCACAAAGCACTTTCAAGACTTTGTAACAGAAATTTGAAGGCATGTGATGTTATGTCTCCAAATTTTGCTACATTTAGTCTCCAATTGAAAGGGTACATACATGACCATTATATGGCACATAAAATGTACATCAAATGATAATTAAAAAGGCCTAACTTTTCACTGTCCAATTATTTTAAGCTTGCATCGTTTAATTTGTGGTCTATTTTTAAAACAGGAAGTCTTATTTACCTCCACATTATGGAAACTGACATGGCAATTTTTATATTTACACACATGAAAAAGTGAACAATTGTATAAACTAAAGACTTAAAGAGATGAACTTTATTATAATTTTTACCTGCTCTGGCTTTCTGCCATCATATTGTCTATCAACAAAAAGAATATTTTACCCTTTGTAATCTATAAAAAAAATTGGCATCTATTTTATTTCTCTGGAAATATATGAGATAAAATAGATTTATTTCAAATTATTAATGCATTTCAGAGTTTCAAAGACCAGTGTTTTTTAATTTCAAATTCAAATGATAGGCATTGCCCATGATAGCTCCCCCAATACCTCGAATGCATTAAAGTGAAGTTAAAAAAATTAACAAACATACAAAATCAGCAGAAGAAAATGTGCGATATAAGATAAAGTGCACTGACACTGTCTCACTGTACCTCATTCGTTTTCTTTTCATTTACAAAAAACACGGATGGGTCAAATGACTCCTCGGGGCCATTGATTCGTTTCGTGTCGGTTGGCATATCTGGGATAAAATTATCAAAATGAACACTATGACATGTAAATGATCAAGAAAATAAGACTGTTTTCCCTCATGATCATCCCGATTCACCGTCACTCACGTCTTTCCAATGGGCGCAGCCATTTTGAAGAAATGTAAATATCTGAGTCTGTAAGAGAGGAAGTACAAAATCCGGTCACTGATCTTTTACTACTGAACTTTGCAGACGATTAAAAAAAATTTATAATTTATGCTTTGACCCCGCTTTCGCAAAAGCGAAGGGACATTAAACTCATTTATTTGTCTGTCTGTCGGAAAACTTCTTTTCCTGTAATTAACTTCGTTTCATTTCACACGTACTTTACCTTTAACAAGATCTTTCCGAACATACTAGTGATTTTTACGAGGTGACTTGACCTTAAAAGATATAAAAAAAAAATTTAATAAATCTCTATGTAAAACTATATTCATATTCACCCATCGTGGCTCTACCCTAGATGATTTGAACAATACTGAATTAATTAATACCTGAAGATGTTACGTGTATATCATATAAAGTCATAATTATCTTTGCTTGGAAAAGGGCATATCCCTTCATTTGAATAAACTTTAATCCCCTTTACGGAAGGATAATTTGTGGCAATTTTGGGTTCATGATTTGAACAAACTTGATTCAACACTAGCTTCCATAACTATATATATACGCAGACATATAGTTATATAACTATAACTCCCCTTTGGTGTTTTTGAGAAGAAGACTTTTCAAGATATTTTTCTCTGTTTTTCTATGTAAAACTTTAACGACCGATTGTGGCCTCATCCTACCCCGGAAGTCATGATCTGAACCGTGGTAAAATTGAATATTTTGCTTCGATTTAAATACATTGTAAATTCATTTTTACCCCCTTGGAAGAAGGCATGACTCTTCATTTGAACAAACTTAACCGTCACCCAAAGCTACTTTGTGGCAAATGAAATTTGGTTGAAACTGGTCCAGTGGTAGTGCGGAGAATTCAACTGAAAAAAACTTGGTGGAATAATGTGTATCCCTTTACTTGAATAAACTTAAATAACCTTTACCCAAAGCAAATCTGTTGCAAATTTGGTTGAAATTGGTCCAATGGTCTTGAGAAGAAGAAGGGGACAAAAGCTAGAAATAATGTCCATATGATATAAATGCCCCGCCGAGGGTATATTAGTAATGCAACATGAAAATTTGTATTTGTGTATGAAATTTGATCAGAATACCTTGAATAGTGATGCTTTTGAATTCTTTACAGCAGTATGTATCAACATATGAAGTTTGACAATAATTTCATTAAAATGAGGTCAAGGTCAAAGGAAATGCCAAGGTCAAAAACTGTTGAATGAAAAGCTTCATTATGTTTCAGCATATGAAGCTGAAAAAAAAATTATAAATTGTTTCTTTAAAACTGACGTAAAAACAATTTGATAAAAGTTAGGTCAAGGTAAGATGAAAGGTCAAGGTCAAAAATGTTAATACAGTTGAATAACTTACATCAGTATGTGTCAGCATATGAAGTTTGACACTGATTTAAGAAAAGTAAGGTCAAGTTGCAAAGAATGCCTGTATGCATATGCATGAGCAGAAGGTGATAAGGCTGCCGCCAGGACGGAACGAGTGGTAGAGGTCAAATCTGCAAAAGATGTGCCGCAATGACAGTTGTCTGTTGTTCTAAGTATGGCGCTTCCTCCCGTGCTTTCTGTGAAAACATTGTCCAATAGTGCGCCTAGTGCAGAAGATGGGACCATCGGAGTCGACTGTTGAGTTCCATCTGTCAAGCTCGGATTCACTGCGGGGTTGACTAGGTCATTATTCAACACCGGCTCTACGCTTGTGTACACAGGAAAGGTCAAGGTCAAAAATGTTGATGCAGTTGCATATCTCTCATCAATATGTATCAACATATGAAGTTTGATAAAAATATCTAGAATGAAATTTTTTATTAAAACTGACTTAAACACAATTTGATAAAAGTGAGGTCAAGGTCAAATAAAAGGACAAGGTAAAAAATGTTGATGCAGTTGAATCGCTTACATCAGTATTACCAGAATATGAAGTTTGACACTGATTTGGAAAAGTGAGGTCAAGGTCAAAGGAAAGGTCGAGGTCAAAAACGTTGACGCAGTTGAATTGTTCTCATCAGTATGTAACAGTATATGAAGTTGGTATCTTTAAAACTGAGCTAAACACTAATTAAAGATAAGTGAGGTCAAAGTTAAAGGAAAGGTAAGGGTAAAATAAAAGGTCAAGGTTAAAAATGTTGATTCAGTTGAATTGCTTACATTAGTATGTATCAGCATATGAAGTTTGACACTTATTTAGGAAAAGTGAGGTCTAATGTCAAAGGAAAGGTCAAGGTCAAAAATGTTGATGCAGTTGCATATCTCTCATCAATATGTATCAACATATGAAGTTTGATAAACATATCTAGAATGGTATCTTTAAAATTGAGCTAAACACTAATTAAAGATAAGTGAGGTCAAGGTCAAAGGAAAGGTCAAGGTCAAAAAATGGTGATGCAGTTGAACAGCTCTCATCAGTATGTATCAACATGTGAAGTTTGATAACACCATCTTGAATGGTATGTTTAAAACTGAGCTAAACACTAATTTAAGAAAAGTGTGGTCAAGGTCAAAGGAAAGGTCAAGATCAAAAAAATATTGATGCAATTGCATAGCTCTCATCAATATCTATCAGCATATGAAGTTTGATGAAAATATCTTGGATAGTTTCTTTGAAACTGAGCTTTGAACAGAGCTAAACGCAAAGTGTGACAGAAGGACGGAAGACGGACATGACAAACACTATATGCGGCATGCCCCGGCCATATTCATGGCGGGGCATAAAAAAACACGACCCATTATTTGAACAAACTCGAATCTCCTTAACCTATAGATGGATGTTCTTGACAAAAAATGTGAAAAGATATTGACGGACAGACAGACGGACGCCGGACACAGTTATACGGACTGTTGCCTCATGAACCTTATCCAAAAGAACATTCTTAGAACTTTTAAAATATAGTGCTCTTTACTATTTGAAAAGAGTTTGATTCTCTTTGATATACTGGAGTTCTTTTTAAGTTTCTAATTAGGAGATATCAAAATTTGTTTAACTACAGTAAAGGTTTAAACATTTTTCCTCTTATTTCTATAGAGCCGACCAAATACCTGATCGGCATTGCGCCAAAATAAAGAAACAACCATGTAAAAGAAATCTGTGCCAGAAAGTTAATATACTAATCGTATGCATTATTTGAATAAAACGTCTCAAGAAAGAACAAACTCTTTAATTCTTATTTGTTTATTTTATAATTTAAATATTTTTGTCGTGCAAAACAAAAGCAGTCGTCTAGCAATTAGATATTGACTAGAACGGGTCTACAATCTTGGTGGTTACAAACACAACACCGACAAAGTCTGAAAATACGGCTACAACTTTGAAAAGTGTTAATTTACTTTACATACAAAAATGGATAAATATAAAATCCAGATGTATGAAAAAGTAAAATTTACAAAAATGCATTTGATGCGATGTATAACAAGACTAATATAATATACCCGATTTTTTTTTAACATTTAAATCTGAAAGGGTGTTATCAAATTGCCATATGTGCAACACATTGTAGCACACACATTCACAGTAGTATGTATGAATTCAAAATAAATCTAAAGTGCAAATTATTCCTATCTCTTTGTACAACCAAATCTGTCTCATCGTGAATTCATGAAGTCGAAAAACGGGAGGGAATCCGAACCTTTCATTAAAAAGGATATTTCTATTGTTTTGATGGCATTTTTCAAAGGCAAAAAACTTGTACGTCGTAAAATGGTGTATGTTTATCAAAAAGAGTTTATCCAGAATAAAATTAACTGAACTTAAAATTGTTCAAATGTACAATTGAACAGCAAAATTTAAACATCTCATTAGCACCAACATTTGTTAGATACAACTTACAAACAAACGTACAAAGTATGTCTTACGAAACACCGAAGAACCAATATTTGTTTTGTTCACTCAATGTCGAAATGTTCTAGTCCTTTTCTCACTTGCCGAAAAGCTGACTCAAAATAAATTTTGATAATAATCGATAGCTTCAATGCATTTGAAAGGACAAGATATACTGGAGGTTCAATAAATTGAAACGAAATTAAAATGCATACCAATGTCGAAATTTCATTAATTAATTAATTTCAAAGCCTTAGATAACCGAAACGAAAATGTTCCTTCATAATCTTCACAACATATTGGAGTTGGTAATAAGAGTATGACAATATGAAAAATCAAAAGCACGATTTTTATTCGAACACTACCAAATCTTTTTTCCTTGAAACAATAACATCTTCAAACATCAGTGAACGTACTTTAAGTTGTAAGATCACATTTAAGTACTCAAGTGGATGTATGCAATCCCATGTTACCCACAAATAAGTACCATATGTGCAGCAATAGACTGATATAAAACAAGAAAACCGTGCACATGGACGGATCATATCACAGATATTAACTGTCGATAAACCATAACAAAACAACAAATATTAACAAAAATAAATAAGCACCATCAATAATTTTAAGTGTTCCTTTTTGATTATCATTAATATCGAAACTTCCGAGAAAGTTGCGGACTGGCCTTTGGGTTAAATTTCCCAGAGTTTCTGCTAGCGCCATTTTGATTGGATGATATTCTTGGTTCCAATCGAGGATCGCGACGTGCAATTAAATGAGAGTTTCTGATTGGTGGGAACAGTTCTCTTCTTGTTTGCTTTTTCTGGCTTTCCTCTACCCACTGTTGACCATCGATGTAAATGCAAATTCCAGCGGCAATGTCTATGATAAGGCCAACAATCACAAAACCACATGACCAATTGAGTTCATATTGTAATGAAGACATGGCAGAACCAAACATGATGACACCGATAAATCCGAACAAAGCTGAAAGTATAAAATGTTCAAATTGTTGTGAAAATATAAACAAAGCAAATTGTTATGAGTTCATAGGCGTCGGAACTAGAGCTCTGAGGGGGCGCAAGGGGAGAAAATAAAGGCATTGAAAATTGGGACTTAGTCCAAAAACTTTTTGGTTGGTTAACCTCCTCCCCACTTTCAATTAACCCCCCTCCCCTTCCAATTTGATTCCTACGCCTATAAAGTACATATAAAGACAATTATCAAGCCCCAGAAGAGTTCAAATTAAATGAAATAATATTTTCATTCGCAGAATTTTATTTTTTATTCACTGAATGTTATACTAGTATTCGAATTATTAAAACGTGTAGATTATTTCAAAATTGACTCTCCTTTTTAAAAATCAATTAATAGAACATCATTCCATACTATTTTATTTACGAAAAATGGCATTGCTATGTGTTTTTATTGGATCGGATGTTTCTATTTTTATGCCTTTCTTCGTTTTACAGTTAGGACTTCCAATTACATGCCCTGTTTAATTTAATATCACCCGTATGAAAAACGATTTTATAAATGTTTTCTTTCTTACTAAGAAGTTGAAATACACACAGGAGTTCAATTGTGTTATTAATCGACTTTGATAAACCTACTAAATTTTATTCCAGTTCCTTGAACACATACAATAGAGATCAGCCACTCTAATATAAAAAAGAGACTACATGTAATCGCCTTATGTGAGTTTTGGGTAATTATTTTCAGGGTATGAAAACAGAAGGTTTTCAATCTTCTTTTTTCTGACCCCCCGTTTGTTAATGTCCCTGAATTCGAAATCATCCATGTAATTCACGTGATACATTTCAATTCCAAATGCTTCTGTCCAAGTCTGTATGCTTTGAGATTAAATTTCACAAGATGTCGTTAGCATATATTATGTGTATTACACGACATGAATGCGTTAAGGATTAAAGTTTTTTATATTAATGTTTGCTTCGTGCATCTAAATCTTTAATTGTCTAATGTTGTTTGTCGAACCTTAGCCCGAAATATCTGAGACAAAAATCGACTCTAAACCATAAAACAGGGTTTTTGTACACGATGTATATAGTGCAGTGCCACGCTGTATATTGGGGCTAGATCTTTATTTCCCCTGCTGATTAACGCATTCTTCGTGATTTTTGACACGGGGTGGTTTATCATAAGGCGACAATCTTGATACATATTTCTACAATTTATAAAGCTGAATGAAAGATTGTCTCGATCCGACCTGTCAACTGAATTGCCATCTTATTTAAGATCTAAAGTATTAAAGTTCGGCTAGTTCATGCCGATGACTCTAAAGCTTTAATAGTAGACCACTTCGTATCTTGCAATTGTTATGTAATTAACTAATTAAAATAAATATTAATTATGTATTCTAAACTTTATTTGTTTAAAACGTCATCGTAATAATTCATGCCGATCAATTAGATATTTTTATTTAATTACAACACTCCAAGGACATAAGATATAAACAAAACGTATTAAGTTAAAAATCCCGATTCAAGAATGTCACAGGGGAAGCGGAACAATATATAAGTCATTTCTGTTTGTGTAAAAATTTATCATTCATTTTGCAATGTTCTTATTATGTTGCATTTGATAAAAATATAAGTAGTAATTGTAAAAATATGGTTTGCAAAGGATATGATATCTTTATTTGTTGAGCCTTTGCACAGCGGTTGTGACTTTTTAACAGGGGATGCTTAGTCCTCCCAGGCACCTGATCCCACCTCTGGAATTCCCAGGAATCCGTGTTTATGCCTCATTTACAGATTTGTACTGTTTGGATTTTTTTTCAGATGGATCGCTTATATATTGTTCTATTTACATATTTTTCGTTGCATTCAAAAATATATTTTCTTTCTAAATTATATGTACAGGAGATTGTCGGTATCTATATTTTAGAGCATGGTTTATCAAATAATTTCATTTCATGAAACTTTACTTACAATTATATATAAATGTTCGAGTGTATTTTGTATTGAGTTTTTGATTTTGAGTTATAGTTTTACAATAGCTTTGCTTCAAAAACTACTTTAATCTTTAGTTTTATACTCAGATACATGTAAATCAAAATGTATTTAGTTGTAAAGATTCATGTCGTAAACTACAAGTCAAACTAAAAACTGCATTCTAATGCAATTGTTTTGTAAAACACGTTTTGAAATGTGATGTTTGAAGCAGTAAAACGAGCATTGTGAAAACTTTTTCATTGTGACGTCATAATATGCTCCGTGACGTAATTCATGTAACAAAATAAGACGTAAACAACAAACAAAATGCATGGATTGCATTAGAATTAGGGAATAACAAATCTTTTAATTTGGTATTTGCGACCGTTAACGGACCGTTAAATCAGCATTAACAGCTGAGTTATAATTTTTATAGTTGTAACGTGAATTTTAACTCATAATGATTTTTATTCTTAAATATTTCGCAGTAATTTCTTCTTCTATTTTTTTTTTTTTTGAGTCAAATAATTTATAATTTTATATTTTGATAAACTAGGATTGTAAGTAATATTACGAAGCAAAACTGTGATTTGTCGTAGAAGTGTTAACTGTGATTTTGCGGAGGAAACAATAGAGAAGGTTGTAAAATTATATGTTTTAGATTAAACTGGACAATTCAAACACAGAATGAAAATTTACTTGCAAAACAAAACAATTTCTATCAAAGTGAATTCGGGTTCTATACCCTTAACTTCTGAAGCTAAATTTAATTACATAAACCACAGTTTTAATTTTTAAATTATATATTTTTAGAAAATAGTTAGAGATTTCAAATGCGAAGCAATGACTGGTAACTAGTATATTCATCTTGTAAAACTGGTGCACAATAGGGAAAAAAACCTTGTTCTTAACCTGCAGTATTAGATTTATATTAAGCACTACGTTAAATTTAGATAAGGTATACATTCTTGAATGACATAAGAGCATAAGAAAAACAAAAAAATTAAAACGTTTTTGAAAATTTCAATAAATTGGAAAAAAATGTATATATCTTAAATGTCGGTGTACATGTAAAAATAAGGACAAATATAAAATAATATTGACATGTTTGTATAATGTGAATTGTATTTATATATGATATAAAAATTTAATCTAGAATTGAATTTGCAATGTTTCACCATATTTACCTAGTTTATGCCAGTGGGAGGGGGGGGGATTAAGAAGATTTTTATATTATTATAAAAAGTTATATAAAACCAATTAATTATTTTTCTTTGTCACAAAAAAGAGGATTTTTTTAAAATACACTTTTAGAGCATATAGATATACACCAAGATAAAAGATGTCTAAAAAAAAACCCAATGTGTCTTGTTATTTCTTTATTCAGAATAATCAAGAAGCTAACATAATGGTTACATGTATATTATACCGCAATCACAGGAGTTCGCGTACCTATCAATTTTACCAAAATTTTCAGTAAATTGAAAAAAATACATAATACCGATAAAAATATTATAGATATTACGTATTTTTTTTTAATTATTTACCGAAAATTTCGGTAAAATTGATAGGTACACGAACTCCTGTGCCACAATCAACAACATAAATAATTAAACAAAATTGTAAATTATACCTTCAAATATGCCAAACTTCGTCAAAATAAAATTCTAATAATTGGGGTAATAGAACAGATTTCTGTACGTACCTGTTACAAAGGCAGTTAAGGCTGCTCCCCTAGATAGAGACCGTTCATCAAATAACCCACACATGTACAGCAACATTAGCAGGATCACAAAGTAGACACCACAAAGAGTGAAAATCTCCATCACCGCCGCCCCCATAATCGCTGCTTTCTCTGAAATTAAACAAATTATGCAATTTTTTTGTATTACTAGTAATTAATTTTTATATCGAAAAAATAAGGAAAAAATTATTTTTTCTGATTTTGAAAACAAGGTGTTGTGATTGATTTGACTTATATATTTTTAATACAAGTTTTATAAGGAATTGAAAATGCAAGTTCCATGCAATATGGTCTCCTGTATGTAATGTCGAGAGATTTTTCTGTGTTCTACCAAATTTTTACGCCTTCTCGAAAAACGCCGCAATTTTCTGTCAAAAAAAGTCACTTTTACCGCTAAAAATATTGAGTACTTAGCCAACTTACCGATCTTTCCATGATAGAAGACGTGAGTGTCGTAGCAATAATGTCCCTTACACGTGGTGAAGAGTCCTGAATTCACCGAGTCCTCAGAGGTGGCCCAGTATTTTGTGGAGAATCCAATGGTAAAGAAGAGGGTGGCCACCACCTGTACAATACAGGCGATCCAATCCAGCCCCACCCGACACTTCATTTCGTGTCCCTATGACCAGGCACAAAATCCCGAAAACAAAATTAGTGGTCCTATCTATTTACGAAACCATAATCAATGTGTTAAAATTTCACTGAATGATTTAGCTAGAACTTTCTTCAAATTACGATCGAATATTTCTTTCCCTTTTTTCCCAATGAGAAAATCTCTTCTTCAAGAATTTCCAGAAATGCACAAATCCTCAATGAAGACTGAAAAAAAAATCCAACTTTGCGCAGACCTTGAAGAAAATGTCAGGCACAAGTCTTAGAGGGAACAAATGGCTTTTCTATGGAATCCTCCTGATTTAGCAGTTAACGATTGCTTTTTGTGGCCATGATAAAGCCCGAATCCAAACACATTTTATCTAAGTCAAACACTGTCGTTCTGAGTTGGAAATCATAACCAGCGATATTTGGCCCGGTATATTAGACATACACCTTTCCCAAATCTTTCAATACATACTTTGTAGATATTTAAAACACCAAACTTTGAAGGCCCCACGAAGGGGGTGCACAATTGTTTAAAAGGATTTATATGTATGGATATTAAATTTCCTGCACTTGTACAGCATAATCCTCATGGCGTTAAAAGATTAATTTTCCATTATTTCATCCATTGCAAGTTCAACATAACCTGGATTAGGCGTATGACGCATGGCGAGAACTTTGGTACTAACATTACGTGATTGAACATAGCAGTCATTAAAAGTATAGCAAAAAAGAGAAGAGATTTATAAACATTGAACAGTTGAGTAAATCATTCTAAAAGGGGTAATTATCATTATGCAATATTCATGTCACATCCGTTTTGGAAGGTTTCCTCATGAAAAATTTGAGGCCATGGCAAAGCTACCATATAAAATTGTAGTGATTGGAAACCTAAAATTATATTTTGCTGCGTTTTGTACTTTCACGCATCTGTCACTTGCAGGAAGTCAATGGTTTCAGAGTGCTGTCCTCTACAAGATTTTTGAATTTTTCAATCAGATTTGTATATGACAATTATCATACAAATTTTAATTGAAAAATTCAAATTTTTGTAGAGGACAATACTCTGCAGTATTTGATATAAGCAGCCAAATACACTGTATCAAATAAATTTGATTTAAAGGAACGAAGTTTTCTTTTTACTAAGTAATTCTTAGACCTCGCATAAAAAACAAAAATAAATTTGTGATGCATGTACACTGTAATAAAAAAAATGTAAATGACAATTTGAGGATTCTCTTCGCTGTTTATTGTGTGTTTAGAGTGGGAAAGGATTTTTTTTTTAAAGGGGGGGGGGGGTAGTTGAAAGATACCAAGAAATGATCGATTTAACTTCCCTGCTGTGCCTCACGTTATTTCGACTCGTACCTTGATCCCCACTCAACAGGTAAATATACAGGTAGGTATTTGGTATACCTTTCCGCAAGTGTCTTTAATTTCTAAAGATTCGCGTCACTCGGATTCATGAGATCGATTGGACTGTTTGAATAGAATTCTAATCACAGAATTGTCAATCGCGTTACTGGGCCTACATAATTTATAGAATTAAGGAATTCTCAAAATCTGTGCGAGAGGTGGGAAGATGTTCAGACCCTTGTTTGACACGCACAATACTTGTAAAAATAAATACTGTCATATTTTTATTTCTTGTTTTAAAAAAGGGGGGTGTAATGCTTAAAAAAAATCATCATTTCGAAAAAAGAAACCTTATTTTATCGAGTTAGTTTTTATCTCTGTAAGTATAAAAATATAGTTATTAAAGTTGTGTTATGTCCATTTTTCAACATTTTGCTTTGTTGTTTAGATTTTTTGAAACAATGAAAACGTTTTGAAAACTGATATTTGCAGATTTATACTCCATGGGTGAATTTAATTTACCATAATATTATCACACAATTATAATGCAATTATTAATACATGATATAAATATACCTCCGTATAATCTACAACATAAGCAAATTTTTTTTAGGGGGGGGGGCATTTTTCATGTTTTGCATAAATGATAATGCAAGAATAAGCTAAATTCCACGATGAAACAAAATGAAGGTGTTTTAGTACATGTAATAATAAAGCATATAGAAACTCTTCACAAATTTTGTAACACATTTTTGAGCATCTTAATTCTGAGGCTGCAAACCACACCCAGAACTTTTTTCAATATTACCAAGAGATTATATAATCTCTACCTGATGGTTAACTCTGTGGTTCATCAAACAAAATTAATGGATGTTAGAACCTTGCCCTTTTTAAACCAATCTTACAAAAGCTGCCATTTAACTGCTTACTACACAGCAATAGGAAAATTAAACTTCAGTGTAGATGGGTCAAAGAATTCTCTATTATGAATATGTTAGAAATTTTACAACAGTTAAACTAGACTAATGCACGATCAGGTATTTGTTTTAGGGATAAGGAATATATCACTGTACCAAAGTTCACTCTCTAATGAAAAATCCATGCTTCAAGAGAGAGAAATCAAAACAGTTTTTATTTAAAGAGTTTATTGCCTTGAAAATAGAAACTTTTAGTCATTTTCTTTTTAAATGTATGAGTACTAGCTATTAATACTTGAGGTTACAAGACAAACAATAATGTATAACAAATATGTGTACATTAAATAATTTCACTCAGACTAATTAAAAATAATGATAATCATTCTTCAAGATCACATATGCTTCTTTACATCATTCAATTATTACAAAATCTTACTTATAACTTTCAAAAATCACAGAATATATAAAGAACATACATCACAAGCACACTAGTTTTTCCCAATTCAAGTACCGAATTTTAGTCATAAAAATACTATATCTAAATGTTGATGACTAGCATAAAAGATTTAGGAGCATAAACATAAAAGGAAATTTTCATTAAAGATGATCTACTTGTACAATTATTTTCCTCTGACATTGGAAGTCAATTTATAAAATAATGTATAACAAATACTTAACCAGTAGCACACGTTTATTACTCATCATTCAATTTGACACATACTATATTGGTATTGTCTTTGAAATATCACATAATCAGACAAACAAATGTGTTGATAACGTAGGATTTAGTCAAGTTTTCTGGCAGCTCGCCCTTTGAATTCATCCATAGAGTTAGACGCTCCAAAATATTCCGAAAGAAGTGCCGAAACTTTAGTCGGAAAAAATCTGAAAAACATTTTTAACCTTGATTGTTCTTCATGTTTTAGTTTTTTGTTAATAAACTTAATTCATATGATGTAAAATGCTGTTTACAGAAGCAGAAGTAATTATTTCAGGTATACCTGTAAACTCTAGAACATGCTTTACACTCAATATACATGCACATACAATAAGTCATTTCTTTACCAAAATGGGGCAAGTTTCCAACAAGACTTGTGCATGTGATGATGTGTGATTGTGAGGCCAAAAGAACATTTATCTCTGAACAAAATCTTTAACATCAAAGTGACACATATTCCTTCTTACAACATACATTTACATTCCTACTTTCAAAGGGATCTTTTATATACCACACTCAGAGAGTAGACTAGATTTACTCATGCATATTCTAATTATTTAGGTCAATTTCTTACTCCTGAGTTTTATGCCAATTATTTTTCACTATAACTTCTAACCTTTTACTCTTCATGTTATCAGTAAAATGCTATTTTATTTAAAGATTGAAACTGATAGAAATGTATGCTTGTGTCAAGAATTAATTCAGTGATTAGATTATCTTAAATCCATATATTTTGCATTTGAATAAAACCAAAATTCCTGCAGAAAATTTGAAAGTAATTGCTTCTAAGACAGAAATCTGATTTCACCAAATATCCATTAATTTATCCATAGAAAGAACAATGCCCCTTGACAGATCTTCCTTAGCATGATAAAACTAGAGCCAGGTTTACATACAACCTACCAGAACAAGAAGGGTTTGACCAACTGAGTGAACTGACCTCTGAGTATACAAATCTAACTCAGGTTTCTTCCTCTAAAAGTGTCCATGAATTTTGAACCACCCATATATGTCATTCCAACTTCACAGCATTTAGCAGGTAGAACCCTGCAATTCATTAATTTTTTAAGTCAAAGCATCAAATTTACAGAATTGTGGTAAGTGTTAGGCCATGATATTCAATTGTATTACTGTTATACTATTCCATTAGTGTAGTAAGTGGATAAAATAACCATGGTACATGCAGTTAGTAGTGAAAGAACTATGCACGCTTAATCTTGATTCTTGAGTTAGTTTTACAAAACAGTGTTTAAAATGTTTAAATATCTCGCAGTTTTGATACGTAAGTGTCTTGAATACAAATTAAGTATTCTTGGTGAGGGAGGGGAGGGGGGTGGTAGATCTACTAAAAAAATTTATAATGATCGAAACAGAGAAACAGTACTATAGTTATAGCAATCCTTCCTGTGACTTGTAAATAAATATCATATTGGGTCAAACATTCCACTTTGTCACAAAATAATCCTGATGTCATGGACATTTGCACTCTTGTCAATCTTAAAAATTTTTGATTTTTTACGACCTAACATATTTCTTATTTCTCAAGTACAATAAAGTTTTTTCTATATTCATGAACAACAGTATACAAGTCCTTGAAGGGGTGAATTTGTTACTTATTCATATTGTGACTGAATACGGTTTGCTAACAGGTCAGTTACACATTCAGCTTAAAATCCCTTTGCAAGGTACATGTACTGGTATAGATTTACCTTTTGACCTTGATTACATTTAATATACTGTGTTTTCATCAATATTTGTTGAGCACCAATTTTCGAGGATTTTGTTGTTGAGCAGATCCACGAAATCAAATGTTCATCGAATTAATAAATATGATTTTCATTTGTATAGGCAATGATTTTGTCCACGAATTAACATATCCTCAAAACGTTTGTTTTACAAAATCCACGAAAATTGATGCCAACAAAAATTGAAGAAACCACAGTACATTGTACTGTACATGACATGTACATAGCATACATGTATCGTAAACTGGTATGATACTTTTCAAAAAATTCCTACAAATTAAAGGAATCAATATAACAATAAATGCTTCTATTCAACATATCATCACAGAGAAAACCAGTAAACAATCAACAAAAAATGCAGCTTACTGCTGGATACAGAGAACCTTCAGAGATTTCTTGCAGCATATATTTCAGGTTTAATTTCTAAAAATTTAAATGCCACTTAATACTTACCCTTTAAGCAAAGCAAAAAGGTAGATAATTCTAGGTATCATGATAATGTGTTGGTTACATAAAACTGCATCAACAATACGCAGGACAACTTCTTCAGGCTTCAGAATTGGCAAAATGGCAGGAAACCTTTCAACAAAACATAGCAAACTTATATATGAATATGTTACAAAATACTAAAATATACTCAACAGAGTGAGAGATGAACATTGTACAACCTAACAATACTTGAATCTCAAACAGGGTTGGTTTAATACCTTGTTTTAGCTCCCTCAAACATTCCAGTAGAGATAAAGTAAGGGCAGACAACTGTGGTATGAACTCCATTTTTACCCTGCATGCTAAGCTCCAAGCGCAGTGACTCATCAAATCCTACAGCTCCAAACTTACTGGCACAGTAGTCAGCGAGTCCGTTAACCCCAATCAGACCAGCAGAGCTGGCGATGTTCACAATGTGTCCATGATTACGTTCCATCATCCCAGGGAGAAATGCTTTACAAGTCTGTCAATGAGTAGAAGTTTTTAACGTTAGTAGAGGTGAAATGAGGATTCACAATTTCTACCCACACATATAAGAATGATTATGGCCTTACTCTTTCTTTTAGAGGATAATTTTTGAAGATTTTCCCTTATATGTACTTTGTATTCCTTTATAAATCTTTAACCCATATTAAAATCGACTAAGTTATGACCCTGCCTTTGCCTAAAACGGTCATGATTTGAACAAATATGTACCTACACTAAATGAAGATACATGTGAGCTAATATAAATTTCCTTAAAATTTGTTAAAATGTAAAGGATAGAAAACTCAAGGTTTTCCTTAAGGTCCCTTTTTTTATTAACACAAAGGTATACCCAGTAAATCAAATTGAAATAATTATTACCCAGAAATGTGCTATTGTGTTGACTTCGAAAGTTTTCTGAATCATGTGATCAGGACAGTCCAGGAACTTTTTCCCGGTGACAATACCAGCATTGTTAACCAGGATGTCCACCTCCCCAACGTCCTTCTTCACCTGTTAATAAAGTCGTAAAATTCAGTTATTGAAATCTCTGGGGTTTAAATCATGTATGGTTTGCTATTAAAAATTATTTCTGTACAATACTCTTGAATTGATGTTATACTATACATATATATTTTGCAAGTTCAATAATAAAATTAATGATCTATACACAGGTTGCTAGTTCTTAATATAAATGTAAGGCATTTTCAGAAATCATTTTTACATGCGGATTATAGTATATTATGAAACATAATAATATGCATTTTTGGCACAAATTTAATTCAATGTTTCTCTTAGGATGTCATCTGATATATAACATTTTATAGGACAAACAAATATCCAATAATTCAATGTTTGTAAGCGAGAATTTAGGATGTCATCTGATGTATACATTTTATGCTTGATTGATAACAGGATACAAAAACAGAAAAGTTTGCTTCACTACAAGTAGGTTATAGAAATCTTTAGCATATTATGATGACAAAATCAAGCACCTGTTGTGCAGCCTTGTATATTGCGTCTCGGCTACTGAGATCTACAGTGTACGTCTTAACTGTGGCACCAATGGCCTTGACCTGCTCTGCTGTCTCCTCATTCCCAGCCTGGTTGATGTCCCACAACACAAGCCTGCTACCAAGCTCCGCAAACCTCTTTGATAGTAACCGCCCTATTCCACTCCCTGGAAATAAAATACATACTGTATGTACTGTAAATCAGGTTAATAATCACGAGAACTTTAATACTGCATATTAATCATAGAATGCAATTTATAGTATAGAGGGGTAGACCTATGTAGACCATTTCATCATCCACAAACTTATATGTGGAACGCCTATGTGCTCACCCCACACAAGAAATCAAATTTTCAAGTTTGAACAGTTCAATTATTTTTTATTATTCATTTTTTAATTTTGCTTTCAAGCTATTACAACTCTAAAACTCATTGCTCTCTTGTGCTTAAGAACCATGGTACCATGATGATGAGTGTGTGTGTGGGGGGGGGGGGGCAGGGGAGGTGCAAGGGTCTATTTTCTAAACTTAGTTTACGTATAACAGTGTAACGTAATTAATGTGCGATGAGTCAAATGCATAAACCATATTACTTTTTATTTGAAATTATTAAAATGCAGCGTTGGACTTCGGTACACCCCAAAACCCTTGACTTATTTGTATCTGCTAGCTGGCTAGGATACTGTTCAAAATTACCTGCGCCAGTAACGAGCACAGTTTCACCCGCCACACTTTTGCCTCTAAGTCCTGCTGGTATAAATGTCAATACTATGGCTTCTAACCAATAGTATATAACATAAAATAATGTGACAAAAAATTCTAGCACAGCATTCATGTTGGTGATGTCTGCTGACCGCGCTTGCACAGGGAGCTTTCGCTTTCGAAGTTGATCTTTGATCAGGGGGCAGTAGTTGTTCATATTTTGAATGAATGCTGCGAAACAGACAAAATATAATGCACTTCTTTTTAAATACACTATTTAAAAAGAATATTTATATGTTATATTTTTTATCATATCAAGAAATAAGAATTATCTTTCTATTTAAGAAATAGCATGTTTATCAAAAAAAGTAAACTTGCTGGTCCCTGTAAATGGTCACGTGATACAAAAGATGGTGGTCTACGGTTCCTGATCTGGTAGGTAAAAAAACCCAAAAACGACTGATTGCTGCGTATGCATAGCTCTTTGATATATGATGAGTAAAGAAGCCTTTATATTAGTTAACTTTTACTTTGCTTGTTGTCAAATACACGCAATTATACAAATTATGTCAACAAGTTGAACAACAAAGCTAAAGTTGCATTTAACAGGTCCAGCACAATGTCTTGATTAAGCTATATAGCTTTATAAAGCTATATAGCATGTTTATCAAGCTATATAGCTTAATCAAGACATTGTGCCGGACCTGTTTAAGGTATAAACACATTAATCATTTTTGCTGTCGGATTGATTTATGTTGAAACCTTCAAAAGCCTGACTGCATGAATTTAAAAGCAAATCAACTGTACGAAGCCATTATACAAATATTGGAAGTAATCAGTCGATATTCACAAAAAGATTTTAAGACAATGTGAACAGGTCCGGCACAATGTCTTGATTAAGCTATATAGCTTGATTTAGCTATATAGCTTTATCAAGCTATTCGGAATAGCTTAATTAAGCTATTTTATCACAATTTTTTCTCAAATGTTTTATTTTTTCAGCATGTGCAAAAAGTCGCACTTTGGTGCAGTGGAAATATTCAACTTTGAACTCGTCTGAATACAATGCATGTAAAAATCACTCACCAAATTGTGTCTCCTTGAGAGACGCGTACTTTGTACTCAAATTTTTAAAAGTTTGGGGGCTATTGGTGAGTGACCACACAGTTATTTCTTGAATGAAATTATAAAGGAGGTCAGTTATGGCCAACAGGATAATTGGTTAGTAAGAGTTCAACACAATGAGAGGTAATCATACTTATCCACGCCTCAACGCACTCAATAGGACACTTTCCCCATGTACAGTTACCCAAACAATGGAAATTCATCTTCTGCTTAAAAGTATTCAACAACAGCAATGTTAGAACTTTCTATGATTTAGGTTGTTTTTTTGATAGCCCAAAGTACATATATGAATAGTCAGATACTTGCGACTTTTTGTTTATTTCTCATTAAAAACGTTTTTGTTAAAAACTGCATATAAATAGCTTTATTAAGCTATTTTGAATAGCTTAATAAAGCTATATAGCTTTATAAAGCTATATAGCTTAATCAAGACATTGTGCTGGACCTGGTGAAAGTGGATGAATTAATTCTTGGAAAATCTTCCTCTAAGTTATGCTCCATGATAATTAGCATACAAAGTTACAAACTACTGTGGAATCATTATTGTTTGTGGGAGACCAATGTTTGTGGATTTTATGTGTCACCCTAATCCATGAATTTACACCCCTTCCCACAACCCCCACCCCCTGATTTTTTCATGTTTTTTTTTTGTCAATATATATTTTTTTAATCTTCTTCGTTTACAAGTTATCCACAAAATTGCATCCCAATGAACCAACAAATTTTTGCTCACCCATGAACATTGACTCCATGCAGACCTATGAATAAGCATGATTCCACAGTAAGTACTGCTGTTAAAATTGTGAATTTCTTTTCCATGGTTCAGGATTTCTTATTGTGCCTGAATTGGCATATTACAGTTAAAAAAAAATTCAGCTGTATTGTCTTTAATCATGTATTAAAAATTATGTATTAATTATTTTTGTAAAAATCATCTTATCTGCCTCGATCTTGGCAATGAGGAGGATAACAGAGTACAAAGTTGTAATGAACCAGATTTGTTTAATCTAGGTCATCTAACTCTGCCTAGCATTGTAGTATGATCTTGAACCTCATATCATCAGCGTAGTGCAGCTTAATCGGCCACTAGTCGGCAATAGTCTGCATTACATCGTAGTAGAAGTGTGTTAGCAGCCAGTTTGACGTAGTGACATCATAGTGTGGTCATAGTGAAGACCATATCTTTCCAAATTGCTCTATTTAGACGCCGATCAGCTGCGATTTGTCCCAATCCAAAACTTTTTCAGAATGGCTTGATCGGGATGATCGCCCTAAAGTCACAGCTCTGTGTGAACGAGGGGTTAGGCAACTGTTAAGGACCTTGGGCCTCTTGTTATTTTCCGTTCTGCAGACTAGATCATCGCGATATCATCTCCTTTCTTTTTTAATGGCCCTTCTGTTAAGATATCATGCTTAAATTTTCCACAAACTAAGATCCTCTTCAATACATATTTGAAACAAATAGTACAAAAATAAACTATATATTATTATGACCATTGTTAAGGACACATAGTAAGAATTAAAATTCAAGTGGGACTGGGGAAGATTGCACCCCCAAGGTCTGAGCCCACTCGATCCCCATTTGGCTCATCCTTTCCACCTGTTCTATTAGCTATGCTGCTTGTTTAAATATGAATTAAATATGAAGGACACAGGGGAACTGTAGACGTACTTTTTTCCATGGGGTCCTAATTCCGCGGAATTTCAATTTTTTTTTAATCCGTGGGTTGTAAATTACGCGGATTTCTAGACTGTCACTGTATGTCTTAGTTACATTTACATTAAGTACGCTTTAACAAATTTCCGCAGAAAATTTGTGACTGCATACATAGTGTAAATTAATACCACGCGGAAAAAAGTACTTCTATAGTATATAGATACAGTGTACATGTTTTCTCTATTTAGCACCATCCTGTGTTTTCTTTATCAGCTCTATTTACTTATCTGGTGAACTGTAAATTTTAATCCATTTTAAACCAAGTTTCTTTTCACAGATTGATTACAACTTTATGTAAAAAAAGAAAAGAAATTGACAATTAAAAATAGTTTTCTGTTATGAAAGCTGAATAACCCTATCCAAACACTTGGTATGAGCCAGAGCCAAACCAGGCACAAGTTTGTATATAATGAACAGTTCTTAATTGTGTGTAATTTTCCAGAAAGCTCTATTTATTTTCAGAATGCTTTCATGTCTGGTCACTTGAGGTCGTTCAGTTCAGGGCTTTTCTGGTATTTCATCTGTGAATTCATGACTGTGCTACTTATAAACCTTTTTCAATGTGATTATAGAGATTAAAATAAGATTCATTGGCATTAGTTTGGATAATTACTCAGCAGTATTTTCTGCATTTCTTGAAAAAAAAAATAATGCTATGAAAAGAATTGTAGAATTCAAAGTACGAATCAATTACTGGCTAGGTCAATTATTTTTATGTCTTTCTTTTCAAATTCTGAGGGTTTTTTTATTTGCTTGAGTTTAATATATAGGATGTGGATTATTGTACACATATGACAAGCTGTGTGTATCATCACTGGTTAGGTTTAAGACATTTTTTGAAGCATGACTGCATGTCCATTTCTTTATTTGAAAACAGGGATTAAACCAACTTGACCCAGTTAGAAATATGAAAACATCCTCTAACAATACATGTATGGTTATTTTCAGATTAATATTATTTCAGATAATACCTATTTTTATGGATGTAAACTTTTGAATAAACATTAGATAACAGCTAGTTCTCCTGCTTGGACTCCAAAGTATTTAATGTATGAATATATATGTGTAAAAAACTTGTTTAATATATTTAAAAGACTTTAGTGGAGTAGGACTGTAAAAGGTATATTATTTGACATTTTTGTGTAATTTCAAGGAAATAAGAAAATATTTAATTTGTATAATCTATATTTAATACTCATAATCTGTTAATAATAATAATAATATATAAGGAAATGTTATGCATTGATTTTTTCAGACTACGGGTATTAAGAAAACTTAATAAGTGTTTACATTTGTGATAATTAAGGAAGTGTATGGGAGTTTGCCAAAAGATTACTCTACAAAAAAGGCTTTGATTTAAAGTATAGGCTTGGTGTCAGATGATCGCACAGTAGTTTTAATGTCAATATAGATTACACTTGCTTGCTTGTATGTCATGTTAAATCAATCATTGTTTAATTTTTTTATAACTTACATCCCTTTATTTTGTGTTATAGAGATTTACATGTTGAACTAGGAGTAAAGAATGTCAGAATGTACTGAAGACCACAACACAGGTGATGATGGTGTAAGGGGGGTAACTCTGACCTCTAGTGGGAGTGAAAAATGTAAGCTTAATTGCACCATAAAGTAAAACTTAAATACATGTATATCTTTTCTTTTTAAAAATAAAGAAAATAATCAAAATAAAATATGACATTTTTGAATTAAATCATTTTTTTGTACTTTATTCTATTCAGGTGGAATAGAGCATCCTTCAGAGAAAGGGGATTATTGTCAAAATTTGAAGACCAACCAGTTCAAACCCCTAGATATAACTGGTCATGATAAAGGTATGTACAAACAAAATTTATAACTTACATGGGGTATATGGTACTTCAAATTTAATTAAAGATGTACTGATTTTCTGTTCTCAGTACTTTTTATCTAATCGGTCTGTGCTTCATTGATTATCATTTAACCTTTTTCATATTTCAAGATTGTGACTCTTTGACAATATTTCTCTGTAAGTGTAACACTTTTTTTTTTAATTTTAAGATGCATTGTCTGGTCAAATTGAAAACCTGTCTCCAGCAACTAGAGGAAAACTACAGATAATCATAGAGAGTCTTAGTAACCACTCAGGTAAAAAGTAGCAATTTCTGAAATGATGCCAGTTTTCCAGTGCTACTAACAAATCTTTAATATTGATACCTGTCTCTTTGATTTTCTCTTAAAGCTGTGGTAGGTGAAGATGAAAGGGGACGACCAACTGTACAGTACAGCCAGAAACAGTAAGAATATTTACACTGATCAGTGTTCCATATTTTTCTGTAGTAAGATACAGTTTTCTTATTCACCACATAAAGGATTTCTATTTTGGATCTGAATTACTACTCCCTGAAACTATATGTACTACCACTCCCTGAAACTAAGTCATTTTTTGACATGCAACAGTTGTTCTTGTACCAGTCACTACCACTAACAATATAGTTTTCAATGGACAGTTATGATATACCGTATATAATTGTTATGGAAGATGTATTATTATTATTATTAAGGAAACTGTACTGGGATGCTTCAAATGCAAACAAGATTGCTGCTCCAAAATCAGAACAAGATCTGAAAGCAAAAATGTCTGTCTGTCTGGAAATGTTAGAATACCTCAAAGTAACAAAATCACCATCAGGAATTCTTCTTGACAAAACTAAGGTACTTATGTAAAGACTGGCAAAGTTTCTTTCTTTCTTTGATAGTTCTTTGTCACTTAAATTTTGTATAATATAATTTTTAATGAATCTCTATAGAATTTTTAAAGGATGATATTTCCCTGTTTTACAGATTCAGACAGACAAAGGACAATATAGAGAGGGTATAGAGTTTGAGAAGACAAAGCAAATCTTAGGCAGAGGAAATTCAGCAGGAGATATCGTAGTTATAAAAGACAAAGAGACAGAAATAGAGCATGCTCAAAAAACAGTAAGTGAACATGCATTTCTATTCAAGTTGTTATGACTAAATTAGCTACAGTGGAGCCTCATTTATCTGGACGCTTTGGTTCCTAATCAATTTGTCCGGATATGTGAAGCGTCCGGATACCTGGATCACCAGTTAAACAAGACAAAATAACATTATAAAATTCTGTTCCTATGAAAAGTCATCCGGATACTGAAGCATCCAGATATCTGGCATCCGGATATCTGAAGGTCCACTGTATATGAAAGAAAAAATATCTTTCTGGCTTCATAGATTGTAAGCTTATGTCAGATTTATTATACCCCCACTCCAAAGGAGAGGAGGGTATACTGTTTAACCCTTGTGTGACTGTGCATTCATCTAGTTGTCTGTCCGTCCATTGTCTGTCCTTAAAACTTTTGGTCACAGTTTTCTCAGTAACTACTCATGACAGATGTTTGAAATTTTATCACTTTCTTTGCTGAGGCATGCCATATGGTGGGATTCATTTTTGTTCGAATCCAATGTCAACTTCCTGTTTATCCATGGGTCTCTCCAATACCATGCATAACAAATTTTCGTCACAATTTTCTCAGTAACTACTCATTGCTGATGCTTGAATTTTTAGCACATTCTTTGCTGAGGCATGCCAAATGATTGGATTCATTTTTGTTTAAATTCGATGTCAACTTCCTATTTATCTGTCCGTCTGTCCATACCATACATAACAAATTTCAGTCACAGTTTTCTCAGCAATAACTCATCGCAGATGCTTGAAATTTTGGCACATTCTTTGCAGAGGCATGCCATATAGGGATTTATTTTTGTTCAAATCTGATGTCAACTTCCTGTTTATCTGTGCATATGCTCATAACTGATCTTCTGTATATTAACATGATAGTGTTTATTCACATCAAAGCAGGGGTATTACTAGTGAGTATTGGCTCACAGACTTCTTGTTTAAAATTGAACTTTGATCATGTTGATAGCTCAGACATGGATATCTTAAACACTATATTCTTATCTCAAAGTCAGTTGGAAGTCCTGATATTTTTTTCTTTTTATTTTAAACTCAGTTTCAGGAATGTATGGATGTCTTGAAATTTTACATTGGTTCCACTGAGTTTGAGAGAATGAGGTTTGGCTATATTATACATGTTCATATATAGATTAATTATTTTGTAGATTATGATCTCAGTTTTCCGTCCCGAGGAGATAAAAGCGTGGGTGGATCTAAGTGAAGATGGAATCAGCCCAGAACTTTACTTGTTCAGACTGGAGGGTAACAGGATAGTAGTTCACATGGAAAAGTTAGATAATGGTACACTGAAACTGCATAATCTAGATTCATCAAATATAATTAACTCCTGTGCAACATTTTCTATGAAGGGATTTTTTTAATTGTTAGACTACCACTTTATTGATTTATAATATGAACTTGAAAGTATACTGATTAAAGTATTTAATTTTTATTATCTAAAATAATGATAAAAAATTCAGGAGAAAACAGAACCCTAAAAAATCCTTGGCAGAGAAAATATAACTTCGCAAACCTGCTATAGTTAAAAGTACAATGTACTTCCTATTCTTGAAATTATATTCTAATTTTTTGCAGCTGTCACTTTAAATGAGGTGATAGACGTCCACATGAACACTCTGATGCAGACAAATAGTTCCCTGGTTAAGCCTTTCTCTCTGTTTGTATTTAACAACATCCTTAGTGTGGTACAGTCCATGCATGAAAAGGGTTGGACTCACAGAGACCTTCACTGTAAGTTTTAACCTTATAGCTAGGACTTACCTGGTAATATGTAAAGATATAATTATTTCAGTATGTGATTTATTTTTTCCTATGTACATGGTCACAAATTTCTGTGGATATTTGTCCCAGAATATTTAATGTGCATCTAAGACATACAAATCTGCATAATTTTCTACCCTCGGATTGATTGTAAGAAATAATGCTTTCACAGAATTATGACCCCATTTGAAAAAAAAAGTGTGTAATCAGTTTTTTTTTAATACAGAGCCTCAATAAAGTCAACATACTTCAGTAAAACTGCAGTGATAAAATGTTTTTTTAATTTTAGCTGGGAATGTAATGATACAGAAAAAGTCTGACTGTGAAGTGAAAGTGAAAGTACTAGACTTTGGGAATGCTGGGAGAATAGAAGATAAGGGTGGATATGCTGGAATCAAGTCCGACGTCCTTAATGCTGTCAGGAACTTCAGTGCATTGTATCTTGGAGAAGAATTTGAAAGTCAAACTGACCTTGAAGAAAACTGGAAACAGAAAATATTAGAAAGGGTATTGAGAACATATCTGATTACAAAATTACATTGATAAATAAATATATTTAAGAAGAATGAGAATTGTCAAGTACTCCAAATTCTGTAAGCCATTGAAAATTTCTATATATTAGATGCAAGGATTACCGAATGAAGAGAAAGCTGAGATGTTCTGTTTATTTGAAAGTGCCCTGAAAGTGGTTACAACTGAGGACCTTCTTAATTTGAAGCGAACAGTAGATGAAATGATGCAGTCAAGTAAGTCCATGCATTAATATCATTATAAAGCTCAGGCACCTCCACTTCAAGTGAAACCACTGTCATAATGTCCAAGCACAGCATACAGTGATTAAGACCATATTACCAAGGGAAAAAGATTGAAAACAGACTTTAATACAGATGATCTTTTAGATTCAGACAAAATGTCATTAAAAGGGGAAGTTAATGTTTTTGTATTCAATGAGCTGTTCAGCGCATTATCTATTTACATTTGAATCAAAGTTGCATTCATTTGGTAGAAATATTAGAATATAAAGCACCACTAAGCTATATGTAACAGTAATTTACAAGGATATGCACAATAGGGAGGTTTAGATACAAGTGACATAACAACGTGTACACGAAACTTTGACGTAAACGTTATACGTGACGTCAACGTCAATAACATGATTTAGTTATAGGTACACGGTGTACGTATGCAAATTTCGTGATTGGAGAGACGGTAAATTAATTGAACGGCATTGAATTTATACTTATTCTAGTCATAGATATCATAAACTATGAAAAATTGTTATATGTATTGTCATCTCACTGCAGTGAAGCACTCTAAATATTTTGTCACCTAGTATCTCTATAGGACAAGCTTTTAATTCTGCATCACTTTAAAAATGGAAGCAATCACAAAAATATTTAATTGACGATAAAATAAAAACGACCACATTTTGCACTTTGTGGAGGAGGTTGGTGGGGTCTAAAAATTCTTCAAAAGAATCCTGCGTACAAAATACACTTGCTGTTTGGTATCAATTTGAGTTTAACTTTTCAATGATAAAAATACAATATACAAATACTTTGATGGAATCATCGAATCATCATTCAGTAATTTTTTTTAGATAGTCTAGTGTTTTTGTTTTATTGCATAAAAATCAATCAACTGTCAGAATCAAAATTTAAAGACCTTACGTCGTACGTGTAGACAGTGTATTACACGTTCTAAACTTGTAGCTACACCTCGGAGTTGACATCATGATGTTGAAGAACACAACAATTGATGACGTCACCCGTACAAGTTCGTCACAAAACGTGTAACTAAACCTCTCTATTATACTTGTACAATGTACTTATAAATTCACAGAACATAAATATACAATGCTTTATTCTCTCCCAGATATTGATGGCAAAGTTGAAGAGATAATGAAAGAAGTAGTACCTCTGCTTTTTCCAGATGTGTTCTCTCAGAATGAAGAATCGGTAAATTTGATTAAGTTCTTAAACCTCTATAAATTCTTTAAAAAACACATATTCTAATGTCTCATAAACAGATTACCATAGATATATCAAAAATTTAATGTAAATCACATATATTTGTGATTTTACTACAGGACACAGAAGATGCTGTAGATTTTGCTCCACCCAATCTGGACCGATTCCTGAGGCAGCTAAGGAGATCCATTATGATTGGATGCTGAAGGAACAGTGTTCTCAAGCTGGTTTTAATGCTTTTAACCTAGAAGCTGTCTTTCTGATCAGAAACAATTAATTTATTACAGTTCAGTTTTTGCTTTGGTCAAATGAGTGGCAGCAGATTACCCCCACCCCATCCCCTTCAGAAATCAAAAGCATTCAGCTAGAGGTTTGTTAATATTCTGAGTCTATTGCAGTATTATTTACTTTTGAATTAATTTCTTTGCTTATTTTTATTAGCTCACCTGAGCTGAAAGCTCAAGTGAGCTTTTTTGATCATATTTTGTCGGTAGTCCGTCTGTCCGTATAGCTGTCTGTAAACTTTTTTACATTTTCGACTTCTTCTCAAGAACCACTGGGCCAATTTTAACCAAACTTGCCACAAAGCATCCTTGGGTTAAGGGGAATTTAAATTGTTAAAATCAAGGGCCAAGACCCCTTCCAAGGGGAGATAATCAAGAGCTTTTCTTTGTTTTGTAACAAAAATACGAAAATAGGGTGGGGTCATTAAAAAATCTTCTTCTCAAGAACCACTGGGCCAAAAAAGCTGAAATTTATGTGGAAGCATTCTGGGGTAGTGTAGATATTAAATTGTTAAAATCATGACCCCTGGGGGTAGGGCGGGGCCACAATAGGGAATCCAAGTTTTACATAGAAATATATAGAACAAATCTTTAAAAATCTTCTTTTCAAGAACCACTGGACCAGAAAAGCTTAAACTTATGTGGAAGCATCCTTGGGTAGTGTAGATATTAAATTGTAAAAATCATGACCCCCAGGGTTTGGACAGGGCCACAATAGGGAATCCAAGTTTTACATAGAAATATATAGAACAAATACTTAAAAATCTTCTTCTCAAGAACCACTGGGCCAGGAAAGCTTAAACTTATATGGAAGCATCCATGGGTAGTGTAGATATTAAATTGTAAAAATCATGACCCCCGGGGGTAGGGTAGGGCCACAATGGGGAATCCAAGTTTTACATAGAAATATATAGAACAAATCTTTAAAAATCTTCTTCTCAAGAACCACTGGGCCAGGAAAGCTGAAACTTATGTGAAAGCATCCTTGGGTAGTGTAGATATTAAATTGTAAAAATCATGACCCCCGGGGGTAGGGCGGGGCCACAATGGGGAATCCAAGTTTTACATAGAAATATATAGAACAAATCTTTAAAAATCTTCTTTTCAAGAACCACTGGACCAGAAAAGCTTAAACTTATGTGGAAGCATCCTTGGGTAGTGTAGATATTAAATTGTAAAAATCATGACCCCCGGGGGTAGGGCGGGGCCACAATAGGGAATCCAAGTTTTACATAGAAATATATAGAACAAATCTTTAAAAATCTTCTTCTCAAGAACCACTTGGCCAGGAAAGCTGAAACTTATGTGGAAGCATCCTTGGGTCGTGTAGATATTAAATTGTTAAAATCATGACCCCCGGGGGTAGGGCGGGGCCACAATAGGGAATCCCAAGTTTTACATAGAAATATATAGAACAAATCTTTAAAAATCTTCTTCTCAAGAACCACTGGGCCAAGAGAGCTGAAACATATGTGGGAGCATCCTTGGGTAGTGTAAATATTAAATTGTTAAAATCATGACCCCAGGGGGTAGGGCGGGGCCACAATAGGGTTTTACATAGAAATATATAGAACAAATCGTTAAAAATCTTCTTTTCAAGAACCACTTGGCCAGGAAAGCTGAAATTTATGTGGAAGCATCCTGGTGTAGTGTAGATATTAAACTGTAAAAATAATGACCCCCGAGGGTAGAAACGGGGCCACAATAGGGAATCCAAGTTTTACATAGAAATATATAGAACAAATCTTTAAAAATCTTCTTCTCAAGAACCACTGGGCCAGGAAAGCTGAAACTTATGTGGAAGCATCCTTGGATAGTGTAGATATTAAATTGTAAAAATCATGACCTCCGGGGGTAGGGCGGGGCCACAATAGGGAATCCAAGTTTTACATAGAAATATATAGAACAAATCTTTGAAAATCTTCTTCTCAAGAACCACTTGGCCAGGAAAGCTGAAACTTATGTTGGAGCATCCTTGGGTAGTGTAGATATTAAATTGCTAAAATCATGACCCTCGGGCGTAGGGCGGGGCCACAATGGGGAATCCAAGTTTTACATAAAAATATATATAGAACAAATCTTTTAAAAAGATCTGCATCACCCAAGTTACTCAGGTGAGCGATGTGGCCCATGGGCCTCTTGTGTTTGTGTGCTGTCTGAGAAATATTTTTAATGCAATATAAATCTGCAAGTCACATTAACACAGTTCATGCATTATCAACTTTCTACTCATTTTTAGATGGTCTTTAAATTCTCTTAGATTTAGATATGAAGGCTTATATTATTTCAAATTTTTAGATCCACTCTATTATGGTTGAAGTTATCTTAACCTCCTAACTTACAAGTGATTGGATGTATTTATATTCCTAGTTCGGATAACTAGTCATTTGTTTATCTTACTGTTGTTATATTGTTCAGTATCTCTTTACAAGGTACATGTTCTGAATCAAAGTCTCCATTAGAAGGTGCTATCTTTGATTGAGTCTCTCATTAAATATATTTTCATTCATAGAGACTAAAATATATTGAGTAGATAGAGTACATAATGTTATTTGGTTTAAAAATGTCTCCTTTTATGCTCAGATTTTTAAGCCTTATGAATGTTACTATCAAAGCAGATTCTCTTAATTACATGTACATATACATGTATAATATTTAGCATCATTGTATTTCCTAAATTCTGCACCAAAAATTTGTACATAGAGTAACCTCGCATCGAAGGTATGTTATTCTGGAAAGTTGGAGAAACATATTGCTTAGGAAGGGAATAGAAAGTATAATCTACAATTCCTGTGATAAATATATATTACACATAATCCTTCAAGATTCTTTATTTGACTGTGTAATTTTGACTAAATTGTTAAGACACTTTTCCAACACAGCTCTAAATCTGTGAAAATAAAATGGTTTGAAAATTTTCATCAAATCAACAGCTGATAATATTTTTTTTAAAAATGTGTGTAATAATAAAGTAGAAAAAGTATATAGCTTACCTTTGATAAGTAACACCTTTAAATGATAGACATTATTCATAAAAGATACAGTATGTGTATTTTTGTATTCTTTTAAACTAGTAAAACAGAAAACACATTTTTTTTTTCTTAAAGTTCCAAATTTTAAAATTTATCTCCACTACTTGCATATACACATAAGGTAAATGTATGAAGTAGCATTTAATTATTTGCTAATGATGATCTGTAAACTTGACTTGCAATATTGTTTATTATGTGTAATTTTTGTCTCATATAACAGGGTAAAACATTGAAGTCTGTAGACTTTGCTGTGTACAAAATGCTAGTTGTTTCAGGTCAAAAATCTAATCCAATGATATTAAAAAAATTAATATTTTATCTTTTTTAATGCACTGAGTAAATGTTTTTTTGTATGAAAATCATTTTGAACCATTATTAAAATAATATCTTTATGTAAAGTGCTATCTCCACTTTTTTTTGACTGGTTACATGTTTTATATTTTTAGGTTGAAAAGATCTTTTTATGTCTTTGTATAATGTTATTGAGACATATCTAAAATGAATCTATGCAATTTATTTTTTAGCTCACCTGAGCCGAAGGCTCAAGTGAGCTTTTCTGATCACATTTTGTCCGGCGTCCGTCTGTCTGTCTGTCCGTCTGTCTGTAAACTTTTCACATTTTCGACTTCTTCTCAAGAACCGCTGGGCCAATTTCAACCAAACTTGCCACAAAGTATCCTTGGGTAAAGGGGATTCAAGTTTGTTCAAATGAAGGGCCACGCCCTCATTCAAGGGGAGATAATTGGGAATAAATGAAAATTTGGTAGCATATTTTAAAAATCTTCTTCTCAAGAACTACTGGGACAGGAAAGATGAAACTCATGTGGAATCATCCTCAGGTAGTGTAGATCCAAGTTTGTTCAAGTCATGACCCCCGGGGGTACTTCACATGTTGTAAAGCAACACAGTGGTGTAGTGGCGGGGCCAAAATGGCCGATCAAAGTTTTACATAGGAATATATAGGAAAAATCTTTAAAAATCTTCTTCTCAAGAACCACTGGGACAGGAAAGATGAAACTCATGTGGAATCATCCTCAGGTAGTGTAGATTGAAGTTTGTTCAAGTCATGACCCCCGGGGGTAGGGCGGGGCCAAAATGGCTGATCAAAGTTTTACATAGGAATATATAGGAAAAATCTTTAAAAATCTTCTTCTCAAGAACCACTGGGACAGGATAGATGAATCTCATGTGGAATCATCCTCAGGTAGTGTAGATTGAAGTTTGTTCAAGTCATGACCCCCGGGGGTAGGGCGGGGCCAAAATGGCCAATCAATGTTTTACATAGGAATATATAGGAAAAATCTTTAAAAATCTTCTCAAGAACCACTGGGACAGGAAAGATGAAACGCATGTGGAATCATCCTCAGGTAGTGTAGATTGAAGTTTGTTCAAGTCATGACCCCCGGGGGTAGGGCGGGGCCAAAATGGCCAATCAAAGTTTTACATAGGAATACATATGGGAAAAATCTTTAAAAATCTTCTTCTCAAGAATCACTGGGCCATAAAAAAGATGAAACTCATGTGGAATCATCCTCAGGTAGTGTAGATTGAAGTTTGTTCAAGTCATGACCCCCGCGGGTAGGGCAGGGCCAAAATGGCCGATCAAAGTTTTACATAGGATTATATAGGAAAAATCTTTAAAAATCTTCTTCTCAAGAACCACTGGGCCAGGAAAGATGAAACTCATGTGGAATATCATCCTTAGGTAATGTTGATTGAAGTTTGTTTAAGTAATGACCCCCCGGGGGTAGGGTGGGGCCAAAATGGCCGATCAAAGTTTTATATAGGAATATATAGGAAAAATCTTAAAAAATCTTCTTCTCAAGAACCATTGAAACAGGAAAGATGAAACTCTTGTGAAATTATCCTCAGGTAGTGTAGATTCAAGTTTGTTCAAGTCATGACCACGGGGTAAGGGTGTGGCCAAAATGGCCGACCAAAGTTTTACATAGAAATATATAGGGAAAACTTTTTAAATCTTCTTTTCAAGTACTTCAAAGCCAGGATTAGTTATATTTGTATGGAATCATCCTCAGGTAATGTAGATTCTAGTTCGTTCAAATTATGATCCCTTTGGGGTTAAAAAATATCTTTTTTTAAAGCCCCCCCCCCCCCCCCCCCCCGACTTAAGTTAAATTTCAGGTCTGATCTGATATGTGTTTTTTCCTAGCTGATGTGCTCAGGTGAGCGCTGTGGCCCCTGGGCCTCTTGTTTATTTAAAATTACAATATTTAGAGTAATCATAAATTCAAAATTATCCAAAGTCTTTATAATATTTAAATATAAAATTGGCTTTGAAAAGTGCTAAGAGAGAGAGAGAGAGAGAGAGAGAGAGAGAGATTACCTAGAAAAAAAAAATGGAGTAAATGTTTATTTGTTAAATATTTTGCAAGTTACAAATCTTTATTCTTTACGATATGTACTGATAATTCTGACTGTTGTTGGTAGGAATGTTGAGTAGCTAGAGTGAGATGCTAGAGTACATTAAGATAAATCATGTGTTATAGAATATGATCTCCACTCAACATGTGTTTGTTGCTTGTCATATTTTTTTTTAACATCCAACTCCTTGTCATGCTTGTTTTCAATTAATCTTACTTTTGATTAAATACACTTGTCCTTATATGATTGTTATATTTGATTTAATTTAGTAAATTAAAAAAACAAGATGTGTTTGTGAGACACTGATGCCCCAGAATGGCAGCTTATGGCAAAGGTTGAATTTTCTCAAATGCATGTCAAACTTAAAAGTCAAGGTCAAAAGTGTTGGTACCCAAAGGATGGTATAGTTACAAGGAACACACCTGTGAAATATATAGGCCCTAGTTCTAACTGTTCAAAAGTTATGGCCAAAGTTCAAGTTTTTTAAAAAGTGGGCTAAAGTCTAAGGTAAAGGTCAAAAGATAAAAAAAATATTTATACTACTGAGAGGTCTTGTCACAATGAGTACACATGTGAAGTATGAAAGCGCTAGCTCCAATTGTTAAAAAGTTATGGCCAAGGTTTAAGTGTTATATTTAGTAGAAGTAAGTCAAACTCCAAATTCAAGGTAAAGAGGTCAAATTTTGTGGCACCCCCAAAAAGGTCTTGTCACAAGGAATACACCAGTGAAATTTGAAAGCCATATCCCAACACACTCAGAAGTTATGGACAGGGTTAAAGTTTTTGAGGACAAACAGACAGACAGTCATACGGACAGGACAAAAACTATATACCCCCGAAACTTCGTAACGGGGGCATAAAATCTGAATAGATAATAACATACGATTCAGGTTATTTCTACAAAAACAAGATGTGTCTTTGAAACACTGATACCCCCTATTGCATCTTATGGCGAAGCTTGAAGGTCAAACTCCAAGGTCAGTATTGTTGATATCAAGAGAAAGGTTTTGTCACAAGGTTTACAAGTAAAGTAAAGTAATTGTGAAAGTGATATCTAGAATCTAAACAAGCTAAATATTTCATTTTTATTTTTTGCCACAGAATGTCTAACATTGTTAGAACACTTTCCTCACTAACCATCGGTTGAAAGAGCTCATCGGTAACCAGTGCATCAAGCAGTTTCACATATATAGCCATTAAAATACCATGCAGCTCTCTCTCTCTATTTGACAAGCGTATTTGGCCTTAAAAAATTATGACTACGGTGAAAATTTCAGTTATAAATTTAATTTCTTTATAGAGTGGGTCATCATACCACTTTTTGCAACTGTAAAAAAAAAAATTTTTCCATTGCATTTCATTTCTCGTTCTCAGAAAAATGACCCACTCTATATTAAAAATGTATTTACAGCATCCAATTTATGTCAGTTTTTGTGAAAATTGAAAGTATTGCTATTTTGTAAAAAATTGTGCTATTCAGAATCGAATTCGCTTTTACAGTATTCAGGTATTTATGGCAAGTCAAATTCACAAAAATGAGCTAAACATAGTTTCACTGTTGATAAACTAGGTTTATCGACTGTAAACTATAGTTTACAAACCGTGAACTATAGTTAACAATTCGTTAACTATAGTTTTCATCTGTGAAACTATATTTAACGGTTGTTAGCTATAGTTTACGAATGCTAATCTAAGTTTGTCTGTCTGTAATAAAACGTTAACAACAGATTTTGTTGATAAACATAGATTCACGTCTGTAAACTATAATTTACAATCATGAACTATAGTTAAGAATTGTTAATCAAAGTTTCACAAATCATGAAACTATATTTATCAGATTGTTAACTATAGTTAAGAGTTGTAAACCATAGTTTACAAATTGTGAAACTGTATATATATCAGATAATATATGTTTTGCAATCGCAAATGATGGTTTTCAGTTTTAAGTATAATTTACGGTTCTGAATCATAGATCCACTAGTATCGCGTTAACTATGGTTTACAGATGTAAACAAGATGTGTTTGTGAAACACTATGCGCTCGGTGGCAACAAAGTTCGGAAAAAGCTATTTTTAGCATTAAGGTCACAGTCAAGGTCACAAGGTCATTGACCTTGGTGTCATTTGAAAGAGCTTGATTAGTGGAGTATGCGTACTAAATATGAAATCTCAATCTCTCATGGTTCAAAAGTTATAGTGAGGGTTCAAAAAAGCTATTTTTAGCATATAGGTCACAAGGTCATTGATCTTGGTGTCATTTGGAAGAACCTGATTAGTGGAGTATACATACCAAATATGAAGTCTCTATCTTTCATGGTTCCAAAGTTATGGCGAAGGTTAAAGTTTGCAGAAAAAGCTATTTTTAGCATATAGGCCACAGTTAAGGTCACAAGGTCATTGACCTTGGTGTCATATTAAAGAAGTTAATTAGTGGAGTATGCATACCAAATATGAAGTCTCTATCTTTCATGGTTCAAAAGTTATGGTGAAGGTTAAAGTTCGAGACAAACAAACAACCAGACAAACAAACAGACAGACAGGACAAAAACAATATACGCCCTTGATATATCGATCCGGGTGCATAAATACCGGTATAGATTAAAGTTTAATTATAGTTTACAGTCCGTAAACTATAGTTTACAACCGATAAACCTAGTTTATCGACTGTGAAACTATAGCTCATTTTTGTGAAATCCATGCATATAGCTCTAGCCAGTTATGCGAAAGGTTAGGGTTTTTGACGGACAAGGCAAAAACTATTTACTCAAGAACCTTTGATTACGGGGGCATTAAAATATACATGTGCTTGAACTTACCTTTCCAAGACCAATCAATTGATTTAATTATATGGTGAAGTTAAATGACGATCAGATATATACCTATATATGCATTGGAATAATATATGCTTGGGAAAGTGGGGGCCAGAACCCCCATCCCCACCCCCCAACACTACATGCGGACAAAGTTCGTTCAGAAATCGGATAATGATTTACAGGAGTTGGCCACAAAAACACACAAGTTGTTGATTTTAGCGACCCTTGTCTACTCAGCAGCGATGGAAATCTCGGAGTTTCTCCCACAGATGAGATTGAGCAGTGACAAACACTGACAAGTAATGTGGCAAGGCAAAAGAGAAATCCTATAATGAAAAGTAGGTATTGACACAATTGACAGGACCTCTCTTCTTTATTGGGGAAAGGAAATCTTATTGGCTGAGTTTACCGCCAAAACCGATTACAGGGGAACTGAATCGGCACCATCATTCGAGAACTTTGGATGAGGTACGGAAATATATACATGCCATGGACAATTTTACTATCGATTTCGGAGCTAATAGTCACTGACTGAATTCTATATTTTAACCAGTAATCACAATTATAGCAAGGCCGTTGTATTAACTCACACACGGTTCTCCCAGCTTCGCGAGAGTAATAAAAATCTAATCAAGGAAGTGAAGAGGTTTGTGATTGATTTTTGCAGATCATAAACCGCTTATTGTGTTCTTTAATTTTCAAACTATTATGTTTGGTGGAATCCAGTATCGCGAGTCAAATGAAATCTGGGTTTTATTCTGCTTGTGCTTTCATTTTGTCTTCACTGGAACCATGCATTGAATACAATGTAACATTCTTCGCAGGGTTTTCTTTTCAGATCTGTATCAGGTTTCCCAGAATCAAAATTTGATAATGAATTCCTTTGAAGAACGGATGTAAACTCGGGTTCTTGGAGGGGGCTTCAAAATGAAGTTTGAAATCTAAATAAAACTTCTGATGATATCTGTTAAATTTTTATAATTTCTCTCCATCTGAAAAAGAGGTTTACTGGCAATATTACAATATTCAAAAGTTGTAAATATTCTTATTTTTTATTTTAGGTTGCCTAGCTTTTTTCTTTAATATTTTAGATACATTGTAATTTATATGTAATGGTATCTGCAGAAGTATTTTGTACATCTAAAAATTCTATAGATTTTTCCGAGGTAACTATATTTTGTGTATGTAAACGTATTGTTAAACCGTAATGAAAGAAAACAGGAATTTTTGTAATAAGAAACTAACTTTATTTAAAAAGGGATTGTGTTATATAACAAATGTAATACTGGAAAATAGAACATTTGGTTATTATCATAACATATAGAATACTGGATAATTATGATAACAAATAGAATAGTAATGAAATAACAAAAAATAGAAATATTGGTAATTGTGATAACAAATAGAATATTTGGTAATTCTGACAAATATCAAGCAAATAACTAGCTGCAGGACTGTAGCGTTATGGTTTTATATTTTAGTCTGACATCATATACATGTACTTGTTGTCTAATGGTCAAAGACTTAATAGTAAAGCCATACAGCCACAGTTCTGCATCTAGAAAATATCGAACAAGAACATTACCCGAATCTCAAAAATATTGCAATCATATTGTGTAACCACTGCAGAATAAGGAAATTCTATATCACAATTTAAGGAGTGCTACATTTTCTTGTGGATCCAGATATAAAAGATGATTTCGATGACTATACAGTTCTCCTTCACCAATTCATTGTAACGATAACCTGCACCTGGTACATGTACAATTCTAACATATACATTAAACATGTGACCTGTTTGTGCATTATACAAAACATGAAGTATATCAAAAATATCTAAACTTAATTTACAAAAATGTAATGATCATTGAGTACAAATGTACATGAAAAATAATTGCTATGTCCCGAAGGTTTGAAATGCCTTAGTACTACTCTCTCAAGTCTTAAGACAATCATTCTAAATAAGAATGCATTCTAGCGACCAGATGTGGCAACATGTAGGAACAAGAAAGTCGATGTTTGATCATGTAATGCTACAAATTGCTATATACTGCAAAAGGTCCATTTGCGACACACAAACAGAAATGGTGCCGAATACAATATAGCTGCTTCTTCTTTGGTCCCTCCATACCGGAAAACAGACTTCGCCCATAAAGTACGCGTTTCTGTACACACCATGCACGCACACCATGTAGGACATAATTGTCAAAAAATCAAAAGCAGAGGCTTTTCTCTTATTTTGTTGATTCGCTTAGTTCTCGTAACAAATCTGAAATTTTAAAGATCGTATAAATGTTACATAAAGAATGAAAAGTTTCAAGGTAAGTATAAAGCAAGAGATCTGAACATCTTCTAAAATAAAGAATGGTAAAGAAAATCAGATTAACAATATAAAATGTTTGCAATAAAGGATATAAGCTAAATTAAAGGTTCTGTGGTCAGTTTTTTTTTTATACATATATTGTAAACGTTACCCCCTTATTACTTATATAACAATGTCGATTAAATAACATGAGTTTTTCAAGCATACCTTCATATTCGATGAATCCATCAGATTTTGCATATTGAATGATCTCTTCCACCTCCTCTGGTGTCATGCGGTCCCCCATGGTTGTCATGCACCTTCGGAAGTCCGACACGGATATTTTCCCGCTTCCACATTTGTCCAAGACTCGGAATGCTTCTAGAATGTCCTCTGTTTCCTCGGCGTAGACGTCGCCATGAGAAATCACATAACGCTCGACATCAGCGTAGCTAATTTTTCCTTTGGCTGGAAAAAAAAATAATACATTTTTGTTTTAATCAAGATACTGAAAAATAATAAAACTTTATCTTTATTCATCGTGAAAAATGTATCAGCATTTCTGAGAATAAAGGTCGAATAAGTTAGGAGTCTATAAATTCACACGACAATTGTTCAAAACTCTTTATTCCAGTTGCATAGAGAAAAAGTGTATACTAAGTAACAAGAAAAAAAGAGATACTTATGCATGCATGTACAAAGATATGAAAATCACCTTGTTAACTTACCACAAACGTCCAGTTCATGCCTGGCTTCCTCTAAATCTCTTTCGGACGGGTTTAGCCCTAAACAGCGAAGTAGAGGACCCAGATCTTTTGCAAACATCTTTCCTTTCCTGGTCTTGAACATCCCAAATGCTTCCTTTAGTTCTGAAATCAACATTCAACTGTAACGACTTATGTTCAAGTAACAAAATTATATTCATGGTTTTGACTTGAAGCAACATTTGTACCTCTTTTTTGGTCCTCTGGAACTCCTATATCATTCAAACTTCGTGATCTTTGAGCCTGAAAGAAAAAAGGGTTTATTATTTGTGTTCCAAATACGAAGTTTATTAAAGCAGATTCACGCTGTTAGAATTATTTTCTCAGACCTCATTCGGAGACAGTTCCTCGGTTGCCGAGTTCATACCATTAAGCGTAGGAAAATATTAAAAATGACAAATTCAAACTATTCACAAATAAGCCATTCCTTCTAAGCTCAGTTGATTGTAAAAAATCAGACAAAAATCTTTACTCCCGTGATCAAAATAGGTTCACAAATCCATACGCGAGTTTTCCTTATAATACAACAAAAATGCCTTTTTGTTTCAATTCCTAAGCAGTTACTACTGATTTTAGCAATATCAAAAAGGAGGTTTATAATGAATTCTGACGTTTGAAATACCCAAATATTTGCACCTCTGTAAAATGATTGGTGTAATTATGGTCACATGACTTTCGGTACCGACTGCCATCTTTGTTTTCCTAGAATCTAGTCGTAAATTGTGTCAGGTGGTCCTGTTAAATTGGGTTTTCACGCCGATTTGACATTGGGAAGAAAAGCAATATACATCTTGTCGACAATTAAGCCAAATTTAGAAGACGTAGGACTGGAGAAGACTATAATTTAATTGATGTATTAGAATCCTGGTGTGAGATGTATCGAGGCTGTGTTACTTTAGCAGAAACCAGTAGATGCATTGGGAACTGTATTTTGGCTATACACAATATCATTGGGATATAAAATATATAACAGAATGGATTTATCATTTAAACCTGTTCATTTTTTATGAATAAGGTTGTTAAAGGAGGAAAATGTTGCAATTAAGAAAGATGTGCGTGACTACCTTTAGTGACATTTTCCGACAAGCTTTAACAAACGAGCAGACAGACAGACATGATTTCTGTATAATCTAAATATCACCAATTATCGGTGCTATTGTTCGATTCTTGGTGAACGTCAATTTCATTTAATGAATACTCTTAATTCCACACTATTCAAATTTCATATTCCAACAATGTAAGAGCTAAAGTTAAAATGTATTTTAAAATTTGAATGTCGATTATCTGTAATATAATAGTTTAATGAAGTACATTAGCAATACGTAAAGAACAAAGATTGGTACACTCATGTATCGATCTTCATAATGGGATGAAATTCTTTTTGCTGAAACCATATTTTTAAATTTTTAAATTCAAACTTTTGATTTTACTAATTGGTAATATGTATACTAAACTTTTGTTGAGACAAAATCACATTGTTTCCAAGTTGACTTAAACACACTAAATACTACGTTTGACTTTCTGTACAAAGGCTTTTACAGACCCTTTTTCCATTGATGTAATTCTAAGGCCCGCATTATGGATTGTAAATAATTCATAATTTTGTCAGGATACGCCAAAGCATTTGATTTTCTATAAGCATATTGTATTGAAAAGATTACATGACAGTAAATAGGAAAATCATGCTTCTTCCTTGTGAAAAATGTTCCATGATTTGAAATCTCACTTAAGTATTCAGGTGTTTTTGCAAATAAGGCTAAGCCTCTATTCCAAGTGATATATTATTATTGAGAGAGAAAAATCAACGTTTACTTTTGTTTTTAGTACTATTTCATGGTCATATAATTTCAGAACTTGATGGACTGTGGCATTTTTGTGTCTTAATCCAGTATAAGTGGACTTTTTATTGAAAATATTTATGTTCTTAGTCCAGTTTTTGTGTGTGTATCTTTTTGGCATTACTTATTGCTAATTATAAAAAGACTGTGCGCTTTACAAATATTTATCATATCATATAATATATAATAAAGAAAAATACAGACTTTTAAAAAACTGTTACACACACAGCTTGAAGTTCACTTTGGAAGACCATGAAGCTAACAGTACTGTTTTGTTCCAAACATATAACCCAGTTAAAAGTTTTACAATACGACACATTACATAAAGCATTGCACTTGGATCCAATGGATCCAAATAAAAGTCAGATATAGCAAATTCGACAGGATACACGAAACATTTATTTTTTAAAATTTTGAATGAATTACATGTACATATTCTTCAATTAGCTAATGAACTAATGTTTTTAAGTTCAATACACATATTTCTCCTTAAAATTATCCAGTGAGAAAGTGTCATTTTCGCGAAAACCAATTTTTGGAAAACAAATTTTCCATAACCTGGAAAGGATTAAATGTCCCCTTCATATATTTTATATTGTAATTTTTTATTTTTTTTTTTTGAGATCGGTCCCTGCATGTTCGCTGTCTAGCTTCACCTTTTACAGATTGAATATATATATAGCATATTCATTAAACATTTCCATATTGTCTTCGTGATTCTATGAAAATTTCATAATATATGAGAAAAATCCCACCTTAAATATTTTAATTAAAATATGAATTTTACAAATATGATATTGTTATATTTCCCATTAGAAATGTTGTAGAGGATTATTTTTAATTTCATGGCAATTTCAGAACTTGTCCGAGAAATAAATCTAGGAATGTAATAACACTTTGCTGTCAAGACGAAATTACATGTAATATCAAGATTCTAAAAGACGGCGTCTTGTGATCCAAGTATCTTATTTTTACCATAATCTGCTGGTGCGGGAGAAGTTATTTTTCAATCAAGATAAAGCCCTTAGGCTATCTCGATGCACGTAATTGTGGAATCGAGTCGGTCATGTATGGCAAATTAAATATGGGTCAGGCGGAGTTCAGAGTTATTTTAAATAGGCGTTTGTACATCGAGATGGGTGCAACATCCAATCATGGTCGACGTACGATCAATGACAGGCTAACCAAATCATACGACGTTTGGTTAAATTAGATTTTTGATAAATTGCAATATTCTGCGAGGCAACTTCTGTTTCCGTAATTTGGTCCAACTGTATCCGCTCACAAAAATGAAACAAAAATATTCCCCCCAAATGGAAGGTTTCTTTCAAGACTAAATAGGGAAAAAATCTTAACATTTATAGTTTTTTTAAAAGATATCCTCTTGGAGATGGGAAACCCTGGAGGAGTTCCGTAAAACTAATCTATCTCTATTTCAGTAAAAACGGTAACGACGCACTAAAAAAGAAAACGGAATCGATTGCTTTCTTTCTCAGCTTTATTTTGGGAATGTCTGGGAAAGAAACTTTTCAGAGAAAAATCTACAAACTGAATCTTGTTCTATGATAGATGAAGTTTAAATGTTCATAAAATTTTGTGTTATATAAAGAAAAATATGTAAGACTACAAGCACTGTAAAACCCTAAATATACAGGAAGAATTAATTATCGCGTAATTTCGCGAAAAGTATCACAACCAAAATCGATTAAGTTACTCGCTGTTATTTTTATGATATTAAAACCAAGTAAAATATCTTTATCAGTCAACCTCTCGAGAATGAAATATTTCGCGATTTGACGTCTTAGTTCGCGATGTGTTCGCGTGGTAAAGTCAAGCTCCAGACAGCTCAGTATTACGTTACGCTACAGCTCCATATCATTATTCGTAGGGAAAAAGTAGTCCCGGAGAATTGACACTGTATGGAGTTTGTGGCAAGATAAAGGTGACAACTTCATTCATATAGTCGTGTCAGTCACAAGTCTTATACAGTGTACATCCAAGAGGAAGACTGGTTATAAATAAGACTAAAAAAGCGTTAAATTTTAAAATGAGGGACAGAAATATGCCAGTTTTCGTCTTGTCTTTGACCATAACGCTACAGATCCCGTAATGCAAAAAAGGTGCAAGATTTGGTCAAAGACAAATATATAAAACCATAACGCTTCAGATCTGCAGCTACAAAGAACCTAACATTCCGTTTTTCACATATTGGATATTTGAACTGTCAGGAAACCGTGAAATACAAATTGCAAAATAAGTCAGAAAAACTGAAATGAAGGAGCTTTTCCATTTGTATTTTTATACAATCTGATACTGGTATATATGTTCCAATTTAGTCCTTAACCAAGAGGCTAGAGACTCAAATATTATTAAGACCAATGATCTTAGGACCATTTTAAAAATACTCTTCCCGAGAACGAAAAACTTTGTGTTTAACTTGAAACTATTGTTTACATAAATATAATAGCTTTGGCAATCATTCTGTAACATTCATACATAATAGACGTACAAAACTTTTTCTTTTGACTAAAAAGTCTTTTCGTGAGGAATTAATAAATTAAAGACCAAGATCACAACACGTTCTTATTCCCAACAGAGCGAGGAAAAACTTAAAGAAAGTATGTCTGTGTAGTAGATACCTCATTTTAAGTACTCAGTACTGGGTTTTTACAGATTCTGCAACTTCGCATATTCTTTTGACATCTAAACAGCTTAATGCCTATTTCAGTGACCACATATTGTCAAAATGATATTGAATGAAAGGTCGTGGGTTCGAAACTCCGGGACGACTGACATAGACTTGCAAGTCGACGAAAAATAGATAGCAGCTGTCCTTCACCAAGTGCTCGGTACTTTAAATTAAAGTGAAAGTTGCGGTTCCTCCAGATGAGACCTAAAAACCGAGGTTCCTTTAAATGACATTCGTTGGCATGATAAAGAACCCTCGCTGCTCAGTGGCCCTAACTGCCTAAGTGCCGAGTAAAGGTCTAAATGAAGCCCTTCACTGGTGCTGCATGACATTTCTGTATGAGTGGAAAATTCTTAATTTGGGCGTAAAAACATATAAAATTAAACAAAATGATATTATGCAAAAGAAAGATATTAATTAAGCTTACATCAGACACGTTGTTGCTCGACACACCTAGATCTATTCTTCTCTTTCCGGACAAGCTCTGTTTTGGGTACTTCCGTATGTTCTGTTGAAACATTAACAACAGCACTGACATTTTGCTCTTTTTAAAAAAAAAAAATCCGAGAATTCAAAAAAATCTTGTCAAGTCACACCAGTTGACTACATTCATGTACTGAAAAGAACCCAAGACGCCTCAACATGTAATTATTTACGACAACCTAGCGACTGAGTATTTACTCAAACAATCAAGAAACGACAGAAATTTATTTTCT